TCCTGTTTGTTGTTATATTTGGAATTAATAATATTTCGCCGCTCGGCTCGCTTGCGGCTTGCGCGCCGCGCGACCGCTCCTCTACATCCAACGCATTAGGCAAATGTCAGGTCGTCAAGACTGACTGCGCTCAGCAGAGGGCCTGCGCCTCCAGCTCCTCCCGCCTGCCGCCGCGCCGCTGCGGGCGTCGCTTTCTTGGCCGCGGCTGCCACCAGGGAGGGCAGCTCCCGGAAAGCCCTGAGCTCACGCTCGCGCGTCGACTTCTCCGGCTGCAGCTCGGCGTTCTCGCGGAGCCATGCGTCGAGGTGCGAGTAGAGCCGCACCGCCACACGCCGCGCCTCGGAGCCGCTCGAGAGGAGCAGCGGGGCCGTCTGTGGGGCGACTCGCGCGGGGGCGGAATGAGTCACCCCCTCCCCCCCCCTCCCTCCCCGGGCTCTCCGACTGGCGGCTCGCTGCGGTTGGGCAGTCCCAAGTGGCTCCCCGGCCGTGGGTGGTGATTCTGTCGGACGACTCGGGTCTGCGCGCGCGCACTAACTCGCGCCTCGGCGGCGTCGGCGCTCAGGTTGAAGAGCAGCCAGTGCATCTGCACGCGCAACCGCCGGGGTGAGAGAGAGAGAGAGAGAGAGGCGCGGGGGAGGGGCGATCGCATCGTGCACGATCGTGCGGTTCCCGTTGGGAGAACGTGGGCGGTAGGCATGCGGTAGGTGGCGCATGCCGCGCAGAGAGGCGGGGAGCAGCTTGCACACGCCTGCGCCCCGCCGTGCGTCACCGTGAGTCGCTGCTTGAGGCGATGGCTCTTGGACCGGCTCGCGGCCCTACCCGGCCTCCCCGCGACCGGCGACGCGGTCGCCGCGGCGATCGCCTAAGGCAAGGTAGACGCCTCCTCCCACACAAGGTGGTGGGGCGAGGGCCGGGCGGGCAGCCCCCAAGTGGACAAGAGCCCCGCGGCATTTTGAGGTGTACCGCCCCGTGCGCGCGGTGAGCGGTGTGTGTGGCGTATGTGCGGGCTTCGTGTGCGACTACTACTACGGTGTGTGTGTGTCTGTGCGTGCGTGTGCGTGCGTGCGCTGGCCTCGTGCCACAAAGCGGTGTCGGCATTCTCGCCGCCCGACGTCGGCAGCCCCTTTCGAGAGGGCGCGTACACCCAGAGCTTGTAGGCGGCGGCGTGGACGACGAGGTTCCCCTTGGAGTGGTGCACGAGCGGGGGTCCTTTTCTCACAGGTCAGCCGTGAAGAGACGCCGTCCACAGCTCTCGGGCGGCGCGCGAGCGGCGCGCCTTCGCGCGAGCGCGCGGTGCAGCTGGCCGCCGCAGCGCCGCCGTCGAGCCACAAGCGCTGCGGCCGCCCGTCGGTGGGCGAGCTCACGCCGACGCCGGCGAGCTCGGCGATGGTGGGCAGCAGGTCGAGGTGCGAGGTGGCGCACGCGGTGGAGGCGCCGGCGGGGGCGCCGCGCCAGCGGAGCAGGAAGGGGACGAGGAGCCCGCCCTCGAGGATGGTGTGCTTGTCGCCGCTCGCGCCGGCGGCGGCGAGGCCCATGTTGTTCAGCTCTGCGTCGGTGACTCCAAACGGCCACGGCCGCTCCGGCCCGTGGTCAGCCGAGACGACGACGAAGGTTTGCGCGCCGAGGCCGAGCTCGTCGTCGAGAACGGAGAGCAGGTTGCCAATCTGAAAGTCGACCACCCAGACCGTCGCCAGGTACTCGGCGAGCGCCTGCTCGAGCCCGCCCTCCGGGATCGGGTGCCCGCCCTCGGCAGCCGCACGCCGCGCCGCCGCCAGCTTGACGCCCATCGGCCTTCCGAACGCCGACCAATCCACCGCCCGCGGCGCGAGCAAGTGGCCGAAGGGCGTCGCGCCGAGCACGCTGGCCGCTGTCCCGCCGAGCATTTCGCAGAGCGGCCGCCCGACCGCCTCGACGAGACTCACCGGCGCATGCGGCGCGTGGAGCCAGACGTTGGCGTAGAAGGGGCGCGAGCCGGCGCGCGCGCGCAGCCACGCCACGGCGGCGCCGACGACGTCCGAGTCTCGAGGCGACCTCTTGGAGGTGGGAGCCCTCGAGCAAAAGGAGGGTGTAGTCTTGGTCGAGGGTGTAGCGCCGAGGGTGTAGTGCACCTGCGAGAGAGGTGGGGCCCGGTCACAGAGACCTCTCCACACACACGAGGTGGCGGGGCAAGGGCCGGGCCACCCCTCGCGACTCCCCCTCTGAGGACACGCGTGTGTGGCCCTGTGGCAGAGGCACGCGGGGCCGGGCGCAGCACGCGCGCCTTTTCCCGCGAGCGGTTCCCCGCCGCCTTGGCCGCCTTTGCGGCCTTGGCCGCCGCCTTGAGCTCCTTGCCGTCCCGCGCGTCCGCCGCCTCCGCCGCCTCGACCGCCTCCGCGTGCCGCCTCCGTGCCTCGGCCGACGCGGGCGGGCAGAGCAGCGCGGCCTGAGGCATCAGAGAAGCGCTTCCCCCAAGAATCGCTGCCCCCCCGGGGGGGGCGCAGCTGTACAGGGGCTGTGCTGGAGTGCAGCATCGCTGCTCCAGGGTGTGCAGCTACGGAGGGTGGTGCTGAGTGCCGGGCATCGCTGCTCTCAGACTGCACCTGGAACATCGCCGGCCAGAGCCTGGCTCGGTCGGCGCCCCGATCGGCCGCCGCGGCGCGTGCGCACAGCGGCGTCGGCGCCGGAGCCTCCTCCTCCTTGCGCCTCGCCTCCTGCTCCGCCTCGTCCGCCTGCTCCTTGAGCCGCGCCCGCTCCGCCGCGGTGAGGTTCGCGAGGGAGAGCTCCTGCCTGTGCCCCTTCCGCCTCCGCCGGCTGCCAGCCCCGCCCACCGTCTGCATCCCGTACGCCCCGACCGCCGCCGCCTTCTCGAGATGCCACTTCCCGAAATGGCCCGTCTCGTAGCCTTGATGCTTGAGGAGGTCCGTCACTGTTGGTAGCTCGCCGATCCCGTTGTTGCGCTCGTTGGGAAAGGCCATAGTGTTGCGGCCGGTCATCAGCGCCGCGCGCGAGGGAGCGCAGGTGGCGCCGCCGGCGTGGTGGCCGGTGGACACGAAAGAGGAGCGAGCGAGCCGGTCCAGGTGTGGCGTGACGGAGAGCGGGTGGCCGTACGCAGCGGCCAAGTCGAAACCCAAGTCGTCGGCGAGGATGATCATGAAGTTGGGCCGCGGGCCGCCGTCCGGCGCGGCGGCTGCGGCGGCAGCGAGGTAGGAGGTGAGCATATATCGTGTATATGGTAGGCAGCTGTGGATTTTTGGAAAAACAGGAAGCCTCGGCGTTCGAGCTAGACGCCGTGCACGAACGCTCTCACCTCGCACGGCGGTCCTTTGGCTGGTCATGTTGGCACCTCAGGCGCAGGCCCCTTCGGCTGCCGCTCACTTCGACCACACACCGCCGCCGGCTGCCGGCCGCTTCTATCTCCTCCCCACGCTTCTATACCGAGTCTTCTTTTCCATCCCATTAGGCAGCCTGGGAACGGTGGCGGTCAGAGGCAAAGCCTACGAGGGGTGGTGGAACCACATGTCACGGCTACTGCCGGCTCGACCCCACGATAGCCTCCGAAGGCTGACTTTGCGGCACGCGCATTATCGGACGATGTGATGTCGACGAGTTGGGTCGCTCTCGCGGTAGCCAGATGACCTCTCACACTAGGAGCATCGGCCATGGCCGCAGGGAGCGCGGGGCAGGGCGCTGGAAGCAACACGGAGGCTCCGTTGGAGACGTTTTCAAGATTAGCGTGTCAGAGTGAAATGGAACTAGCCTGGGTGGTGCGCGCACCCCGAGTTGCAGACAAGAACGAAAAGCTTATATTTGATGTTAGATGAATCTCTAGCTAGCATGAAAATCAGAACTTCCGTTACCGGCTTGTGTGGGGGTGGTCGCCACTAGGGACTTACGGGTAAAGCCGTATGGAGGGTGAGTTGACCAGCGGTTGTGCGCCGGGCCTTCCTGCTCGGCGCCAGCGAGTAGACACAAGTGCCCAACGGATCCCGCTTGCCGTCCAGCCGGAGGACGCGGGGCGATGGTGGCTTGAGGGAGGAGAGTTGCGCGAGGTGGACCAAACGGGTGGAGAGCATTAGCGTCGTCCCGTGTCTCCTAGAAGAAACCGGCTCTCACCGACCTTCACGAAGCCTCCGACCATCGCCAAGCCGCGACCGACCGTCCTTGCGTTCAATGAAGACTCAACGTGGCGCACGGTGCCGACGCTGTCCTCGAGCTCGATGATCACATCCGCTGCGAGGCTTGGCGTGCACAAGCAGAACTCTTTCTCGCCACACAGGCAACTGCCGCTGGCAGCGGGCTCGACGAAGTCGCGCGTGCAAAGAGAGTTCAGTGGAGCGGACCCAGCTGCGCGTGCCGCAAAGTGGATGGAGGGCGGGCGCGTACACGGAGACGGCGACGAGCGCGAACTCGGATCGGCTGGGCATTGTGCACCGAACTGTCGCAGACAACGCGCGCGGGGGGGCGGACTCGCTCGGCGCGCAAAATTCACACCTGTGATTGTGGAGAAACGGGCGAAAGAAAATCCCGCACGTTTGCGCGCGAAAGTGACGTTGTGGCGCGAAACGCATATAGGGCGCGCGCCGCACGTATCATGGGCAAAACGAAGGCCAGGCGACCAGCCAACGCCGGCAGCGGCGAACCACCGCCCACGCTCCCACAGGAGCTCGTCGTCCATGTCGCGCGACAGGCTCCTCGCCCGCAAGTCATCGCCAGAATGAGCCGCACGTGCAAGGGCTGGGCCGCCGCTTTGCACAGCCCTGAGGGCGACTTCCTCTGGAAGTCGATGGCTCTCGAGAAATTTCCTCGCGTCCGCGTCATGCTGGAGGCGCTCGAGATCAAGTCTTTCAAGACTTTCTATCGGCAGCAGCGCCTCGCTGATCGGCCCCGGCTGGTCAAAAAGCCAAAGCTGCCGGCTCTGGACGAGTACATCTTCTCTGTTCAGATCTTCTCAGACGCCGCGGCGTGCGAGCCGTTCTCGTTCGCGTCCACCATGAAGTACCAGCGGAACGTGCGCGGGCTCTGCACAGCCGTGCTTCCCACGTCAGAGACGACCGCCAACGTGACCTGGTTCAGGCCGTTCGTCGATGCGCAGCGATCCGCTCACGAGGCGCCCGGCGCTAATGAGGCGCCGCTCGACAAGGCCACGGAGGCGGCCGCGTGCTACCTCGAGCTGCTGAGCGCGCTGCGCATGACGATCCACGTCACGCGTTCGAGCGACAACAGCACGCTGCGGCTCGCCGACGGGCTTCGCTTCACCGGCGAGAGCGGATGGATTGGGCACACGAAATACTCTACGGGCATCATCAGCGACTCGGACGCGGTGGCGCTCCTCTCCTCGCACTCGGACGCGGGCAAGGCGGCCCTCACGCCGCCGTCCTTCCTCACGAGCTCGCTTGGCGTGCAACTCTGGGAGAACATGCAGGACTGGACGCCGCGGGGCTACAAGAAGCCCGCCGCGGGCGAGGACACCGTCGTGGTCATACTCAGCTTCGCGTACAACAACTTTAAGCACCCCGACACGCCGGATCCCAACGATCCGGAGTGGGACGAGGCCAACAACCTTGCCTACATGGACCAAAAGGCCATCGTCGAGTGGCTCGGACGCTGCGCGCCGTGGCCCAAGGTGTAGGCGGTGGCTGCTGCGGTCTGCGCATGATGCTGTGCGCCCCGAGGCGCGGGCGGGAGCGGGCCGTGCACACAGTCGTCTCCCATGTTTGCCCTTGGGCGTCAAGTGTTACTATCAACAGAGTAGAAGGATCTGACCTCAGGGCTGATGTAACCAAGCGCTGGGGTAGCGCGTGCTTTTACCTCACACCCATGCTCGCACAGTGTGCCGGCAGTCGTCGAGCAGTGTCGCTCACACAAGCCGCAGCACAAGTGACTGGGGGCCAGTGAGGGCGAGCCCATCGCTGTGACAGCTGTGGCAGCCGCACAGTAGGCTGTGCCAACTGTGCAGAGCGTGTGAGCAGCAGAGGAGCTGCTCTCCAGACTTCTGTCGCACAGAGTTGCATGCCACCGAAGGCGCTGTCGAGGTTCGCCGAGTGTTGGACTTTTCACTCCGGACAAAGACGGCTACACGCACACACGAGCCGCGGTCGTGTAGCCGTCATAGCGGCGAGGCGCGGGACCGTCTGTGGCGAAGTGTGGGTCGCGTCCCTCGATTATTCCGTCAACTCACCCTCCAGACACCCTCTAGTGCCACTACCATGCACGCTCAGCTCGCGTCGGCTCAACAGTAACCAGCCTCCGGCGGCCCCCCCGCTACCATCTAAACCCGAGTACAAAGCGCCTCTCCAAGACTACGGTAAACAAAATGTACAGCGAACCGATGCGCTCTAATGGGCAACTGTCCGTGCGCCCCGCTGCGCCGGGCCAAGCCCGCCCCCCGCCGCGGCGTGCCTCGGGCGGGCTCTGCCCTCGCTCCTCACGGGCCCTCGTCCTCGCCTTTGCCGAACAGGGCACGCGTCTCCTCCAGCGTCTCCTTCATCTGGTCCTCCATCGCGTCGAGCCTATTCAAGCTCAGCCCGGAGAGGAGTGGCGCCAAACACCCCCCCCCCGCCACGTCGCAGTGTGGCGTCGAGCCTTGCGAGCAGCGCCTTCGGCACGCCCGCGGCGTTGGTGGGCGCGTCGGTGTACATGTCCTCGGCGCGACTCGCCTCGCCGTGATTAGCCGCATCGCGTGAGACGCGGCACGCCCGTGTCGCCGCGCCGGCGAGCAAGCCGGCGATGGCGAGCGCGGCGAAGACGACGAAGACGCCCGCGAACGGCGCAAAGTCAATCCGCGACACCTGCAGCACCGCGCGGCTAGCGGGTGAAAGAATGCCTCCTCCGCGATGCAGTCGGGCGCCGGCGCGCCTCGGCGAGGGTGACGGCCGGACACGACTTGCCGCTGTCAAACCAGCGCTGCTCGAGCTCCTGCCAAAGCTGTTCTTGTTTCAGAAGTGAGCTCCCTCTCTCGATCGATCTCGATCTCGCCCGAGCTCCTGCCGCTCTGATGGGTGCTGCAGGCCGTAGAAGATGTTTGCGGCGGAGAGGTGATTCGCCAGCTCCTCGTCCTCGGACCGCATGGCGAACGAGTAGGCCGACTGCGCCGAAGCGTCGGACCGGGGTTGTGGAGAGGCGTGACGCGAGGCGAGGCCGTGCCATGGCGTGGGGAGCACCGGAGGGGAGGGGCGGGCGATCGCCTGAAATCTCGTGTGATCTCGTGTAACTCGTGTGAACTCGGGTACTCGCAGAGTGTGCCTGCCCGAAGCTGATGGCGGGTGCGAGCACGAAGGCGGTGTCGGACGAGGTGGAAGGGCAATGGCGGAGCGCGACGGGCTTGGCGATGGTGTTGGACTCGATCCACACGTCCGCTGACCCGTCGCGCAGCCGCTCGAGGCACCACTCGCCGCTCTCTTTGAAGGAAAAGGTGGAGGTGTCGTCGGGGCCGGCCGGCGTCCCAATCTGCACGCTGGCGCCGCTGCTGCTCGTCGCGTGGATGACCTGCGGCGCGGAGGGCGTGGCGGGGGTGGAGGCGAGCCTTGCCCCTCTCGCACGGGCGCGACGAGGCGGACTCTCGGTCGATTTGACTCGGGTGGCCTCACCTCGCGGCACGCGGGCGAGCGGGTGATCTCGGGTGATCTCGGTCATCTCGGGCGCGGCCTCGCCTCGCGGGCTAGCGGGCTGACGTACGGAACGAGCCATTCGGCGCGGACGCACGCGGTCGCCTAGTTAGACTAGCAACCTCAACTCCACGCCCAAGCGACTAGCATCGGGAGACGTGGGGCCTAAATCCAAACAAGGGCTGGGGCGACGGGACCGGCACCGGCGCCTCCCTGAGCTCGCTCATCGAAGTGGGCCCTTGCACCTTATACAGGAAGGTTCCGAGAAGGTTCAGGGCCATCTCGGTTGATCTCGCTCATCACGTGGGCCGTTGCACCTCGAAGAGCGGCCGGCTCAGGATAGAGGTGAGACTCGCGATGTACGTAGCCTAAGGCAATAAGTGAAGTCCCTCCACACACGACGTGGTGCGGCAAGTGGGGGTAACCCCTCGCGTCTCCTGCAGCGTCATCACCACGACGAGCATGCCGAGCCGGAGGAGGCGGGAGGCCCACGAGTCCCACACATTCTCGAAAGTGGTGCCGAGAGAGATGCCGTACAGCGAGGAGCTGCCTATCAATCATTAACCAGTCGCTGTTGCTTTCAACCGGTAGATGCAAATGAGGTGAAGCGGACGTGTGATATGCCCCCCATGCACGAAGCCATGCTCTGGTAGAGCGCGTGCGCGTATGCAGCGGGGAGCGCGGCTACTGCCCCTGGCCGGGCCTCGCGAAGCGGGCTGAGCGCGGCGATGGCGAGGAGGAGGAGCGCCGCCACCTACAAGAAAGCTCCGAGGAGGTTCAGAGACCGTGGTCCACCGACGGCGAGGAGCAGGGTGGCGCGGGGCGATTGGGCACACCGCGAGGAAGGCGGCCACCGCGAGCCACAGGCCGGTCGAGAAGGGCTTGAGGGCGAGGGTGAGGGCCGAATTCCGCTGGCGCGTCTGCATCACCACGCCTATTGAGCCGAACGGACGGAGGCATGTCACGGCGCGGTGGTGCCGGAGTCGCGTCCTCGCCCGTCCCTCCGTGCCGACGTACGAGTCGGTGTAGTGCGGCGCAACCACGGCGAGGCCCTGTGTCGGGAGGCCCTGCTCGCCGCCCGGGATCACGCGGGAAGAGTTCCAAAAGCTGTTGTAGTCGCGCACGTACTGGAGCTGTGCGCCGCGATGGACGGCCGGGTCCGCAAGCTCGCTAAAGTTCGAAAAGTACGGGCCGCTCCACTGATACGTCTGCGCGAAGGTGTGGTCGTAGACGATCGCGTCGCACGCTCGTGACCACAGGCACGACCCGTCCTGAAGGTAGGTGTGCTCCACATTGTTGAGGCTCTCCCAGTCGGTGAAGGTGGTCCCGACTGCGCCGACCTGTTGTGCGAGCAGATGCCAATAATCAACGGCGTACCCGCTGTATTTGCAGTCCGGAAAGTTTGCGGTGCCGTTGAACGGCGGGGCCTCTGGCGGGACACAGTCGTCCGGGCGGATGAACCATGGGTTGATGCTTGCGGGAGAGAGGCCGAGCTTGAGCGTGCGACCCGAGGCTTTCAGGTAGCTCGTGGGCGATTCCTGCCAGAATGGCGATCCGTCTGTCGTCGTGTAACCCATATTCTGGAGGCCCGGCCGGACGCTGAGGGCGGCGAGCGCAAACGGCAACATTGCGACGACGATGGGCAGGGGGGACGAATGATGGCGGCGAGCTGCGCTTCTGCGGGGGAACCAAAGGCGGCGCTGTCCGTTTTCTTTTTGTCATCCTTGCCGCTTTTCTACATATTTTGTGAGTGAGAGTGCTGCGATCCGGGCCCGGGGTTATGCCTTCGTGTGAGAACAGAGTTTGAGATTTTGAGCAATACCAATGAAAGCTATTGTTGTTGATTGTTTGCCAGAGTTTCAGAGTTTGTGTGAGAACTGTGAGTCTAGACCCAGATCGCAAGCATCGCCATCAAGGAGAAGCCGAGGAGGAGCATCAACAGCTTGAGGGAGGCGAACCAGCCAGCGCCCTTCGTCTGGTAGTCGACGAGTTCCTGCGGGATGACGCCGAGACATAGCCGAGAGAGATGTGTGCCCGCGCGTGCTGAGCCTCCTCTTTCGCTTACCTTCGCGATGATCTCCATCAGGCCGACGTACAGGAAGAAGCCCGCGGCCAGTGCGACGAGGCTGCTCTCCACGGTGCTGTCGACCTGTGAGACCACCGGGGCTAAGGCGTGACTTCTACACCTCCTCTGATGATGGCCTGCTGCTCTGCTCGGCGCGTGTGATTGACCCACGCGGCCGTAGAGAGACTCATGCCGACGACGACGCCTAGAGGCACGCGCGATCTCGTGGCGATCGTCACGTGGCGATCTCGCATCTCATCTTTCTCGGCACATCTCGTCCTGGGCACATCCCTCTCACACAATCCTCCCCCACTGGGGATCTCGATCTCGGCAAATCTCGCCAGTGGGTGTCGCGAGGGTGAAGCCGAGCAGCCACGCTGCGCGCGCGGCGAAGGGTCCCGGCGCAGTCGCAAGCGCGCAGCCTAGAGGCGAACGGCGAGAGTCGCGGCAGTGTTTCTCTAGTTGCTTCCTGCTACGACCGCCAGAGGCGCTCAGCACAGGCGCAGAGGGGGCGAAAGACGCAGCATGCTACAGAGATGGAGGGGTGCGGGAGGAGGGGGAGGAGGCGGGCTGCGTTCCTCCCCTCCTCGGGAGGGGGGATGACTCCCCCGCGTATAGCTCTACCCGGTGTCCTCGCGTCGACCTCGACTCCGCGCGCACTAGCTCTACTCGAGAAGACGAGTCCGCGGGGGAGAGGTGTGGGAGGTCACACGGCAGAGGGAGCGAGGGCGGGGGCACAAGCGCTGTCGGCGGGCGGCTTGTACCGAGCGCCCACGCGGCGAAAACCTTGTGCGCGATGATCGCCACGAAGATGCCCAAGCCATCCTCGCCGCCGCTGACGCCTGTGTTTGGAGGCACAGGACACAACTCTTCGCCGCGTTCGACCCCGGAGCGAGCCTGATCTCGGCTTGATCTCGGCTGATCTCGGCTTGAGCTCGGCTGATCTCGGCTTGAGCTCGGCTGATCTCGGCTTGAGTTCTGCTGTCATCTAGTCTGACGCCGAGGACGAGGCCGGCGATGAAGGAGTGCCTACAGGAAGGTTCCGAGAGAAGGTTCAGGACGAGGCCTGCTCCGAGAGAGGTGCGGTGCGCACACATGGTGAGCGAGAGGAAGAGGACCCCCGCCCCGACGAGAGACAGCGCGGCGGAGCGGCCTAGTCCGCACAGGCCCGGCATGTGAGGGAGAGAGGTTCCCTTTCTGTGAGGGAGAGAGGTTGCGTCAGAGGGGCCTCGTCTCGCCGCAGGCTCGATGGCAGCCGCTGTATGCACTCCCTCTCGCTCCTCCCCGGGATCGCCCGTCGGCACCATCGGCACGACCCTGGACATCGGCACCCTGCACGCCCTCGGCTCACTCGCCGGAGAGGAGCGAGCGGCTATCTCGACCACCACCGGCGCCGGCTCCGCCGCCTCGTTGAAGAGAGCCAGCGAGCTGACCAGCGAGTCTGCGCCAGGCCTACGTGGGAGAAAGCGCGCGCGAAACCATTTTTTAGCGGTGTGCCGCCGCCAACGGCGGCGCAGACGAAAATGATCGCGGCGTAGGCGATGCCGTCCATGGGCTGATCACAACGCACGTTGCGACGCCGTGGGAAAATAAAAAAGACTCTCTCACAGCAAAAAAGAACCGCCAGCATACCTCATAACAGATAACACTCATAACACCTCCGACTGGTTGTTTATGGCGGCCAGCTATAACAATCTCTAACAGCTGTTACGAACATTTTAGAGAGCAGCCAAGAACATTTTGTTTGTCTCGAGCGGCGGTCGGTCTGGACTCGATCGAGGTCTGGACGCCGTTGTTTGTTTCGCAGCCCGGTCTCGGGGGTGGCCACCCCAGCGTTTCGCTAAGAAAGATCCCACCTGCACGAGCAGGACTTTGGAAGGACGATCAGGGGCACAGGGGGTTCTCCTGCTCCGGCTGACTGACCAGCCAGGGACAGCGACAGACAGGCTCGCAGCGCGGTGCTCGGTGGACTCCCAACTGCCTCCACTGGTGGTCTCATCTCACTTGGAGCACTTGGAGTGCGGTCATCAACCGCACGCCCAAAACCGGGGAGCGGAGAAGCGCACCCAGCGGGCCGGACGCTCGCGCAAATTGATTTTTTTGCCGCTTGTAAATCGCCGATTAGTTCGTTTCTCGCGCCAAGGAGAAGCGCGCCGGGGCGGGGGGTCGCTGCCGCCGCTGCGCAGACGCCAAGATCGGCGGTGTCCAAGATGAAGAACGCCAAGGCCAAGAAGAAGAAGTCAGTGCTGAAGCTGCCCGAGCTTACGTGCGATGAGCTGCGCAAGATCCTGCGCATCCGTTGCAAGCTCGTCCTGAATGACTTCGCCGAGAAGAAGTATGATTTCAGGTACACCCGGGAGAAATCGGAGAAGCTCGCGCATCAGGAGCGTGGCGGACGCAAGTATCTGCCGCCTGAGGGATGGGCGAAGTTCGCCCTGTGGCCGTCAAGGACAAGTACGCCAGCAACAAATGGCTGCAGAAGGAGTCGGGCTGGCCGGTCGTGTATCACGGCACGCGCGCGCGGCATCGTGCGCGAGGGCTACCTTAGGGGGGACGACACTCACTCACTGCTTCTGCAGCGAGCGTGCACCTCGATCCTGTACCGTGTTTGTGATGACCCCCCCCGATGAACACACCAGTGAGGGAGGGCGAGACGGTCGAGGGGTCCCGTACCACGCGGAATCGACCCTATGGTGGTCGACCCTGCCGCAAGTATCTGCCGTAGATAATCTTGGAGCACTTGGAGCACTTGTTGTGCACAGTCATCTTGCTTGTAACGCATCCTGCGGCGTCGCTCCTTGCCGAAAATGGTGCGCCCAGCACGGTCTCCCGCTCGGCGTCGGCCTGGCGGTGGCAAGCCTGACATTCACTACGATGATGCTAACGAACTCGAGTATTTCACGTTCGAAGAGTGCATGGTCACCACGCCGGAGGAGTGGCAGGACTGGGAGCGTGAGAACTGCTCTGGGATGCGCCGCGGAGACGTGAAGGAGAAGCGCGCGAGCTTCGATGCGGTCCAGGCTGCGGTGTATGGGCTTGTCTGTGTCCACGTTCGGGAGAACAAACTGGAGACTTACTGGCGCGATTTCATGACCGAGCTTGAGGCGGCGATGGAAGAGGCTGGCAACGAAGAGACGTACGATGACCTTATCGACGATGACATAAAGGAGTACCACGAATTGTACTTGTCGTCTCTTGCCAAGGCGTATGACAAAAAGAAAAAGGCCGAGCAAAAGGTGAACTCTGACTCCTTTGCGCTTGCTCTCTGCCGCGCTGCTATCTGGCTGCCAAAGAGCTTCCTCTATCTCTCTGTCAATATATTCGGCGGTTGGGCCTCTTTGACACTGGGCGGTGTGCTGGGGCATGTGGTCATGGGCGCGCTCGGCCTTTTCTTCCTTGCCCAGGCCTTCATCCCTGCCCTCGTCATCGTTTTCTTCAAGGCGGTCTGGGACCACTCCTTCGGATCTGGCGACGACTCGGACGGCGGCGGCAGCGGCAGCGGCGGTGAAGACGAGAGCGAGGAGGAGGACGAGGACGAGGAGGACGAAGAGGAAGACGACGACGACGACGACAAGGACGAGGAAGACGAGGAGGGCGAGGAGGACGACTCCGACTAAGCCAGCGGAGTCAATCCAGAGTCCATCCTCCGTACCGTACGAGCGAACCTCCCCGCCCGCCGCCCCATAACGTCCGGGGGCGGGGCGACCCGATGGTCCTCTCGATTGTGGCTCTCTAGATCTCGATCGAGCTGTGTGAGGTTATTGCGTGCGGCGCGGGGGGTGTGAACAGCCATTCCGCGTGGTTGAGGGGTTGAAGGGGTCTGTCAACCACTTGGTTGAGGGTTGAGGCCTCTGTCAACCACGTGGTTGACAGTTGAGAGGCAATCGGCCTCAACCACCGCTATGAGTAGAATTTATCAAATAAATAAATAAATACAACGGACATCCCAAGCTAGGGCTGGGTCGAGGACAGACACGTCCCCACCTTTGCAGGATTTTGCAAAAGCGAGGGGGGAGGGCGCATCGCCGCGCGGAGAGGGCTGGGCACAGGGCACAGGGGATCTCTCTCGCATAGGATATGCACTCGGCAGCACGAGGGCAAGGCTGGGCGTCCTATGTTTGTGCTCCCCCCCGGACCCCTCGCTCTCGGGCACTAAATCTATCCATCTGACCACTCATCGACGGGGCTTGGCGAGCGGCCGCGCTGCGGGGCAGGGCTGGTGAGAATGGGCTCTGGCCACTCGCCCGTGCGGTTGTAACCGCGCATCAGCCGAACGGAGGCCTCGACCGCCCCTCGCGGCAAGCTCTCGAGCCTCTCGAGCAGCTCGCCCGCCGCCATCGCCGCCTCGAACTGCTCCCTCATGCCGAGCGCGCCGCAGACCTTGCGTACAGCCTCTTGCTGCACCTCGTCCGGCGTATCGGTTTCATAGCCGGACGAGTCGGCGGAGGAAGCCCGCTTGGCGGGCGGCGAGTCCGGTGAGGGAGAGCGCGACTGGCGTGGGGGCCGGCCGTGCATCGTGCGCGGCATCGTGCGCGAGGGCTTCAAGATCAGGGGCGGCAAGGAGACGGCGCACAACGGCTCGCGCTACGGCCAGGGCGTCTACTGCACGCCCGACCCTGCTTACGCAGTCCAGTATGCCAAGCAGCAGAAGCTTGAGTCGTCGGAGCATGACGACGAGTTCCTTGTCGTCTTCCAGTGTCGCGTGGAGCCCGACAGCTTCACTGTCGAGCGGGACACCAACGACGACGACTCCAGAGCAATTTGGCGCGTCACGGACGCGCGACGAACCTCCGCCCATGCGCCGTGCTCATGTCGACCGTTGCTCCTTGCGCTGCATAAGCCGAGTCGAGTCGAGTCGAGCTCGAGTCGATCGGCTCGACTTGCCCGCGGTATGCGCGTGCATACTTCCGCACAGCAGCGTACCTTGCCCCCTCGTCCGCGAGGGCCGCGCGCCGACAGAACTGTGTTACGCTGTCCACCACCGCCACCGTCTTTCATATATTATAAGTTGCGAGCTTCGTTCCACACACTGCATGGCTCACATCTTATGCTCGACTTTAGTGCGGCTGCGCAGCCTCGGCCTCCAGATCGCCGCGAAGCCCGCATGACTCTTGACTGCCACCTCGCGGGTGCGTCCCGACCCATGCTCGAGGACCCATATGGCGCGTCCCGTCGACGCCCGACCGGATCCGAGGCTGCGGGGGAGCCCTCCTGACGTGCGCGCACCGCCCTGCGCCCGCAGGTGGCCTCAGGAGCGCTCAGGGCGGCCCGCAGGCGGCCGATCGTGCGACCCGCGTCGCGAGCCGCGCTCGAGGAGCCGCGTTTGGGCCGCACACACCCATAACACACACACGTCTGACAGCTCCGACAGCGTCTGACAGCAACACCCGACAGCTCCGACAGCACCCGACAGCTACAGATCCCCTCTGATGTCAGACACGCACCCGACAGCACCCGACAGCACTGACAGCACCCGACAGCTGGTCTGACAGAGGCACCTGACAGTGCCTGACAGCTGCCCGACAGCCCGACAGATCACCTGACAGCACCTGACAGCCTGACAGCCAGGGCTCAGGGCTGGAACGGGATCTACCTCGCAAAAGCGAGTCACCCGGGCTGGCGCGCGTCTTCCGGGAGAGGAGTGGGAGCGAGGGACCTCCTTAGTAAGCCGGCATGCAGGCGCATGCGCGGCCGTTCAGAAACTTTCCCAGCCGTTGGAATGGCTGCACTCCTGCCCCTCACGCCGGGTGGACAAGCGGGGGGGGGGGGGGGGTCGATGACCTGCCTAGTCGCCCGACATGCCAGGCATGCCGACCTTTCGGAGCCCCCCCTCGTACACGTGTGCCGCTGGGATCAAGCCAGTACGCCCGAGGGCGACGGTCCCCCGGAAGTAGGCGTTGGGCCGAAGAGGGAGGAGTCGCTGAAGGACGGGTAGTCGTCGATCATGCGGGGGGAGGAGTCGTCGGCGAGCAGCAGGGATGAGAAATGCCTGAGAGGGTGGGGAGGGAGGCGTGAGGTGCGAGGTGAGGGGGCGCGGGGGCGCAGGGCGTGGGTCGTGCGCGGGTGGGATGCGAGGCGTGAGGCGCAGGGCAGGGGCAAGGTGTTTTGTGTGTGTGTGTGGGGGGGGGGTGTTTGTGTGAGGGCAGGGCAGGGCAGGGCAGGGCGGCGGCGAGCGGCGAGCGGCGTCGGCGAGTTCGGCGACGAAGAGAGGCGATGGTGACGTACACGGCGGCAGCGTTCACGGCAGCAGCGCCGATGGCGGCCCCGCGCAGCGGCGGCGGCGCCCTGAGTGAGGCAGACTGCCCTGCACAGCCTGCTGGGCACGCTCCCGACGAGCGGCGCGCCATGCGGGCCCGCCGCGGGCGACGCGGGCGGCCGGCGAGCCGACACGCGTGTCGCAGGCGTAGACAGCACTGGCGAGGCGTGGCGGCCGGCGCCGGCCCCGGAGGCGGCTGCAGTAAGAGCTGCAAGGCAGAAGTCACTGTCCAAGGCGTACTGAGCAGGCTGCCATCGAGCAGCGCGCCATGCGGGCCTCCCGCCGGCGACGAGATTGGAGAGCCGACAGGCATCAAAGAGGTAGGTACTGAGGAGGGCCATTGCGCTCGAGGCGGTCCGCGCCGGCCCTGCAGGCCGTCACAGAGAGCCTGGCGAGGCTGTACAGAATGCCGAGAGCATACTGAACAGGCTGCCGTCGAGCGACGAGCCATGCTGGCTCGTCGCAGGCGATGAGGTCGAGGAGCCTCCTTGACGGCGGGCCGCGACACGACGCGCTCGTACGACGCGCGGTAGTACTGCGCCGTCAGCCGGCTCAGCTCGCCGACGTCCGCCGACCCGCCCGCCTTTGCCTGCTCGAGCGCTTGTGCAGTGCGACCGCCTCGGGCAGGTCGTCCTCCTCGATCCGAGGCACAGAGAAGGCGGCGACCAGCGCGCGAGTGCGGCGCCACGACTCCTTCGCATCGGCGAGTGGACCCTTCGCCTCTGGCTCGCCAGGCTCCTGGCCGCCAGGCTCCTGGGCGGCGCAGCTGCGCGCTCGCAGCGGCGGCCGAGCAGGCTGGAAGAGGCTGGCGAGCCCGCTGGCAGATGCCGCCAGCGCTAGCAGGAGCAGCTGACGCATCCGGATGCTAGCCGGTACGAGGGCTCACGTCGCTGGGCGTGTGAGTAGAGGTGTGGATGCAGTCACAAAAGAGTACCGCCGAGGCGGCCAGCGTGCGAAAAGAGAAATCCCGCCTGACTGTCGTTGCTGTCTATTCCTTTCTCGACTGTCTGTGCTTGTGCTTCCTGCGTCGGGGTTGTTTGTGTAAAGAAAGAAACAAAAAAGAAAACAGCCACTGGGAAGGGGAGGACGGCACGCCTCCACCACGCAGGGATTTTAAGTTAAAGAAAGAAAGAAAACGCAAAAAAATTCTTTTCTCGCGATGTCCACCCCGCGGCGCCGCTCGCGCCGCCTCGCCGCCGCCGCCGCCGCCGCCGCGCACTGCCCCCTCACCGACCTGCCCCTCGAGCTTCTCGCGCGCGTCATTTCCCGCTGCGACCCTGCCGACATCGCTCGCGTCGCGGCCGTCTCGCTCCTCTTCCACGCCTCGCTTGCGCTGGAGGGCATCCGCTTGCGCCTGCAAGAGGCCGGCTACGAGCCGCCGGCGCAGCCAGAGGACGAGGGCTGCGCCGTGCGGTGGCTGTGCTTTGCTGCGCTGCTGCGCGAGTCCAACCCGCCGGCTAGGCTAACGGCGGGCGCACAGCACAGCGTCTTCATCGACGGCGAGGGGCGGCTGTCGTCGTGCGGAAAGGCTGAGAGCTGGATGCCGGGACTGCTCGGGCACGGCGAGGGCGTGATGCAGCTCAACACGCCGACACGCCTCCCTTCTTCCCCGCTGGGCGGCGAGCGTGCTGTGAGCGTGGCGGCGGGATTCGCGCACAGCCTCGCCCTCGCCGCCGACGGAGCCGTCTGGAGCTGGGGCCAGGGAGGCGCCGGCAGGCTGGGCCACGGCGACCTGCAGAACCAGCTGCTGCCCAAGAAGGTCGAGGCCTTTGCTGGCCAGCGCATGATTGCTGTGTCGGCTGGAAGGTTCCACAGCCTTGCCCTCGCCGCCGACGGCGGCGTCTGGAGCTGGGGCTGGGGAGGCGGTGGCCGGTTGGGCCACGGCGACGAGCAAAACCAGCTGCTGCCGAAGAAGCTCGAGGCCTTTGCTGGGCAGCGCGTCGTCACCGTGTCGGCGGGAGAGGACCACAACCTCGCCCTCACTGCCGACGGCGCCGTCTGGAGCTGGGGCTATGGAGCCTCTGGCAGTCTGGGCCACGGCAACGAGCAGCACCAGCTGCTGCCGAAGAAGATCGAATCCTTGGCGGGGAAGCGCGTCGTCGCTGTCTCGGCGGGATTCGCGCACAACCTTGCCCTCACCGCCGGCGGCGCCGTCTGGAGCTGGGGCCGGGGGGGGGTAGGCCGGCTGGGCCACGGTGACGAGCAGAACCAGCTGCTGCCGAAGAAGATCGAGGCCCTCGCTGGCCAGCGCATCGTCGCTGTGTCGGCTGGACTCGTGCACAGCCTGGCTATCACCGCCGACGGCGCTGTCTGGAGCTGGGGCAATGGTATCTACGGCAGGCTAGGCCACGGCGACGAGCAGCAGCAGCGGCAGCCGAAGAAGGTCGAGGCCTTTGCTGGTCGGCGCGTCCTCGCTGTGTCCGCTGGGGCCCGCCACAGCCTCGCCATTACCGCCGACGGAGCTGTTTTCACGTGGGGCAAGGGCGAACACGGCGGCCTAGGCCACGGAGAGGACCTGCCGAACCAGCTGCTGCCCAAGAAGATCGAGGCGTGGGCGCTGGGCGGCAGTGAGGTGGCGGGGTAGGGGTTGTCTGAGTCTGTGCGCCCGATATTCTTACGTTTTGGACAACCCCATAAAGTCAGAGCACTTGGAGAGGATCCGTTTTCTTTTGCTGTAAAATTCTTAGCACGCGCCAGTTCGCACCTGTGTCGAGCCTGTCTGCTGTGTGAGAGAGTTCGATTTGTTTGCCGTAGGTGTACCTGTGTGTTATAGTGCCAGTGCGCGCCAGTCCCGTGCCCAGTGTTGTGCGAGGGAGTTTTCTTGTAAAATTCTTGTTTAAATTAGGCGGCTCCGGTGGTGTGCCTGTGATAGTGCTAGCACGCGCCAGTTCGCACCTGTGTCGAGCCTGTTTGCTGTGAGGGGGATTTGTTTTGTTTAAGGTCCTCCGGGCCAGTTTCGGGGGGCAAACCCTGCCCGCCCCCTAGGACCCCGGGTAAGGCCCAGGTGTGGCCTAGGGCATCAGAAGGGACCAAGAGGAGTCCAGTCTGAGCCATAGAGCCCATGTCTTTGCCCCCGAAGGTCGCGTTCAAATGCCCGGAACGGACGTTACCGTGGTGTCCGGCTGGCGCGATCACCGAGCTGTGACGCTCAGGGAAGCCTGATGAGGTACTGGTTTCTTTGCCCAGGGCTGGCCTTCTCCCCAGGCTGGATCAGCTGAGCAAGGTTTGGGGAGAATCCTATATTGGGATCTTCAGATATTTTGACGGCGAGGAAGGGTTCGCGAGGCGCAGCTGAGACTTCCTCCGGAGGCGCTACGCCTTCGTCCTCTCCTTCGTCTTCATGGGGCGGCAAGACACCTCGACCGGTCTCCGCTCCGCCGACCACGGTATCGATGAAGGCGACTCGGGCTTCATCTGGCTCCGCATCTCCGAGAAGATGCGGCGCGGCTGGGCGTTCCGGCGCATCGTGCGCCTCCCCCTGAACGAGAGATCCTTTCACGGCCACGCCTCGCTCTTGCCTCTCGCAGGCGTGGATGGACAGCACTGGCGAGGCGAGGCAGCCAGCGCCGGCCTCGGAGGCGGCTGCACTCACGCACGGGAGCCGGCGCTCCGCTGTGGGGACCCCCCGCTGTGGGGAACCCCTCCGATGGACTCGTTTTGGGTGAGAGGCTTGGTGAGGGCCGCGCGGCCTCGTGATTTGCACCGAGAATGCAGCAGATGCAAGCGACCGTCCCGGCGGGCGTGGGCCCGGGCATGGCCTTCCAGGTCAACACGCCCTCCGGCCCAATGCAGGTCATGTGCCCGCCCGACGCAACCGCCGGAAGCCAGATGATGGTCAACGTGCCAGTGGTGGTGATGGCGGAGGCCATCGGTGGTGATGGTGCGGTCGTCGCAGCGCAGCCGGTTGCGGCGCCGACGCCGATGGTGATGGCCCAACCGATGGCGACAACCGAGCTCGGTGCAGGTAGCGGGCTACCGTGGCGGCTGAGCCTCCAGGTGGACAAGAAGATAGAAATGAGCGAGCTAAAGGCGAGCGGCCAGTCGCCGATCCCCGTCATCTCACCCAGCGACTGGGCCGAGATCGTCGCGGCCCTCGACGAGACACAGCGCGGGCAGTTCTTCTACGACAGCCCGGGTTGCGAGTTCGTGTACTTCTGCTGTCCTGGCGGCCCGATCCAACTTGTCGTGTGCATGTGCAATCCCATCACCTGTGCGTTGTGCATATGCCCGATGGAGGCGAAGAAGACGGCGGCCAAGGCCAAGATCGATCCGATCGTGAGCAAGTACGGCCTCAAGTTTCGCTTCGACGACGGGTTATGCGGTATTTTTGCTGTCATCGAGCAGTGAGTCCTTTGCCCTATAGGACGTTGTCCTCTACTCAAACGAGGCTGAGGGCGCGCCTGCGGGCGCGCTGCCCGGACGAGCAGCGCGTGGGAAGCGACGCTCGTACGCACCTGGGCGGACAGGAGCCCTTGTCCTACTGAGTAGGACATGCGCCAGTACCGGAGTACTACTGCCAGTAGCGCAGTGCGTGTGCAAGAGCGGCATGAGCCGCTCGTCTCGTGTGTGTGACAGGGCAGGGGGAGTAGGATAGCCAGGTCAGGCGTAGACCAGGCGCAGGTCAGGATAGCGGTCCGGGTTGAACAACGTTAGATCGGCTAGGTTAGAAATTAGACCCCATGGTAGAAAATTTCGACATTTAATAAATAAATAAAAACGGACACCTCTACTGTGAGAAGGGTGAAAAGGAACAGGTCCCCGCCCGTGCGATCTTTGTGCAGTAGGAGATGGAGGCGGCGGAGGAGGAGATGCGGCGCGGCGAGGGTTCTGATGCCCTTGCCTGTCTATGGGCTTCAGATCTCTCAGCTAGGTGAGTTTTTCTGCGACGCCTGCCTGGACAACTACTTTGGGGCTGGCTTCGGCGATTACTCGATGCTGCGGAAGGGGCATGCGCCGTCTGCGAATCACCCCTGGATAGGTCGCTCGCGCGACCTCTCCTGGATGCGCAGGGGGCCCATCGAGGACGAGGTGAGGCGGAGGGAGGCGCTGTTAGCGGCGGAGCCGGAGGAGGCGGAGGCGGCCGCTCGGGCGGCGGAGAAGGCGGCGCGGCGACACGCTTTTGGGACATTTTCGACGCTTGTGGCCCATATACTCGTGCAACGAGCCATCGGTGATTTGCACACCTTGGATGTGCATTCATCAACATGGCGGGAACCGAGGACGGTTTCACGTGCATGGATGGCGGGAACGGTGAACGGTAAACGGTAGTGAATGGTGTACGGTAGTGAAGGTGAACGTGTAGGTTTGTCACCCCCCCAATGAGAGTGGTCCGGGCTACCGATCACCTGCTTACATTAATTACTGCACGCCGGCTTTTGCCAGATATTGTGCGTTTGGGCGTGCGGAAGAAAAAAGAAAATGAGAATCGTCATAGAGCAAATACGTAGTGAGGCCATGTCCTCGTCAAATACGAAGTGCCATTTCGGCTCGCCCTATGCGTTCATTCCTAAGACAGACCTGAGGGCGCCGCAGCCCGATCCGGCCCCTCGATTGAATCGGATCGGATTGGTCGTCTTCGACATGTCGCATCTGGAGCGGTCGCCACGGCTTAAACATCGGCTGCCCCGATTTTTCCGCCACGCCTTTCAACCTCGCAACCACCTGTTCGATCACGTCGCCCTGGGGGAGAGGACGGGGCGGGGCGGGGGGGGGGGGGTGTCAGCGGAACACTTCATAGCTAGAGATTGGGCTACGGGAGTCGGGTGTTCAGCGGAACACTTCATAGCTATGAGATTGGGCGGGAATAACCACACCACTTGAGAGCCCGAACCCTGGCAGAGTTACTGTCCACTATGAAAGTGTGGACCGGCGTGAACAGCAGCTCCTGACCACGGCGCCGCAGGCGCCTGTTGATAGGTCCAGGTGATAGCCCTGGATAGGCAATGCATACGCCTCACTGGGCCTTAGATCGCCCGACCGCGTCCCCGTGCTCTGTGGTCGGATTTGTGACGCCGCCGCACCGCGCCGCGGCCGGGGCCCCCCCGGAGGCCGAGGATGGCCGTGGCGGACCGGGACGAGCTCTGGGAGGTTCAGTGTCAGTGAGTATATTGTAGAGGCCACCCATGTGCACAATATCTTGACTGAGAGCTAAGCCAGGGGAGGCGATGCCGGGGCCGTACAGCAGCTTGATGGTGCTTCGCCGGCGTGCGTCCCGGAGCGGTGCCGGACGGGCGGTCCGGGGGAGAAAATCGGGGGACAACGCCGACGGCGCTCTGATTCGACTTTTAACTTCAAACAAAGACAGTCGCACGCGCCACAGCGCGGCGCGTGCGACTGTCAGGAGCGGATCCGTCAGTTAGTTGTGTTCACGCCGGGATCGTGTCCCCGACAACCTGCCCAGACTTTAGGCTTGGACAGTATGGTCGAACCACTTAGGGTCGAACCACCGGCGCGCGTGTGTCGTCGATAAGGCACCATGGCGGCAAGCAGCAGCCAATCCAGCCTCCCGGCTCGTGGCTACGAAGACGAGCTCGCGTTCCTCAAGCAGGAGACGCCGTACCGCTGGCGCATTGATCTCGGCTTCGTCCCTCAGATGCGGGTGCCGGGGCACGTCTACGTCAACGAGGCGCTGCAGCCGCTGCTATGGTCGGAGCTGCGGCAGTTCGCGGGCTCCTCGTCCACGTCCGGCTTCCTCCCAGCGCTCAAGCAGATAGCCAACGTCGCCGCGCTCCCTGGCATCGTCGGCCACTCCATCGGCCTACCGGACGCCCACTCTGGCTATGGCTTCGCCATCGGCAACGTCGCGGCCTTTGACATGGACGACCCGGACGCGGTCGTCTCACCCGGCGGCGTCGGCTTCGACATCAACTGCGGCGTGCGGCTCCTGCGCACCAACCTCACCGAGGCCGCGGTGGCAGACCGGCGCGAGGCGCTCGCGCAGTCGCTCTTCGACCACATCCCTGTCGGAGTCGGCTCGCAGGGCGTCATCCCGTCCTCTTCGGACAGCCTGCAGCGGGCGCTGGAGCTGGGGATGGACTGGTCGGTGCGCGAGGGGTACGCGTGGGCGGAGGACAAGGAGCACTGCGAGGAGAGCGGCAGGATGCTGACCGCCTCCCCCGCCTCCGTCTCGGCGAGGGCGAAGAAGCGAGGCGTGCGCCCCCTGCTGGACCGAGCCACACGGGGCCCGAGCAAGAGCCCTCGGAGGCCCGTGCCGGACGCGCGCTCTCCGCCCCTCGCAGGCTTGCCGCAGCTCGGCACGCTCGGCGCTGGGAACCACTACGCCGAGATCCAGGTCGTCGACCGGATCTTCGACAAGCGTGCTGCGGCGCAGATGGGCCTCGACTTTGAGGGCCAGGAGAGCGGCGGGCGCGCCTGTCTCTCCCCGCCGGCGTCTCCCCCGCTCACGCGCCGCCCAAGCGCCCAGGTGTGCGTCCTCCTCCACTCTGGCTCGCGCGGACTGGGGCACCAGGTTGGACGCTAACCGTACCCCTAACCCTAACCCTAACCCTAACCCTAACCCTAACCCTGGGGCACCAGGTGGGACGCGACCACTGCAACGCTCACGCCAGTGTGGAGAAGGGCGATCACACGCAGTGCCTTCGCAGGCCCACAGGACCACGCACCACGACCACACGCGTGTCACGCGCAATCACGGTGATGCCACACGCGAGTCCACACGCAAGACCACACTCCGGACCAGCCGGGTGCTGAGCCCAGAGGGACACTTCTCACGACACAGCCCCTCGCGCGTCCGCGACGCGTGGCCGTGGCCGCCAGGTGGCGACGGACGCGCTGCTGCAGATGGAGCGGGCGATGGGGCGCGACGACATCCGAGTCAACGACCGGCAGCTCGCGTGCGCGCGGATCGGGTCCGCCGAGGGTAAGCAGTACCTGCAGGCCATGGCGGCCGCGGCGAACTATGCGTGGGTCAACCGCTCCTCGATGACTTTCCTCTGCCGCCAGGCGAGCCCCGCCGCGCTCTAGCCAGCGGCATCGCCGCGCCCAGCGGCATGCCGCCCCGCCGCACAGCCCCTCCCGTCGCCGAGGCCACGCCTCCGACGCCGCCACCGTCGCCCTCGCCGCCGACCCGGCCGCTGCGGTGGGTGGTCTCGGACACGCCTCTCGACCTGCCCACCCGCCTCTCCCGCTACGGCCTCTCGGAGGTGGTGAGCCACCTTCTCGGTGCGCCAGGCCTTCGCGCGCACCTTTGGCGCTACGCCAGACGACCTCGAGATGGGGGTCGTGTACGACGTGTCGCACAACATCGCAAAGGCGCCGTCCCTCCCTGCCCCAGCCGCCCCCCTCCTCGCGGACCGTTTCTGATCGCGTGGACCGCGCGTGGGTATCGCACCGCCCCGGCCCGCCAGGTAGAGCAGCACCTCGTGGACGGCAAGCTGTGAACAGCGTCTCTTCACACCTCCAGCTGTGAACAGGTAGAGCAGCACCTCGTGGACGGCAAGCCGAAGAGGCTCTGCTCGCCCCGCCGCCGCGGCAGCTCGCAGCGTGCCCCCGCCCGTGACCACCCGCCCTCCCCTCCGCTGCGGGCAGGCTGCTCGTCCACCGCAAGGGCTCCACCCGCGCCTTTCCTCCGCACCACCCGCTCATCCCGCTCGACTACCAGTTCACCGGGCAGCCCGTGCTGATCGGCGGCACCATGGGCACGTGCTCGTATGTGCTCACCGGCACGGAGAAGGGGATGGCCGACACGTGGGGCAGCACCTGCCACGGCGCCGGGCGCGCAAAGTCGCGCGCCGGCTCGCGGCGGCAGCTCGACTACACCGAGGTGCTCGAGGCGCTGCAGCAGAAGGGCATCTCCATCCGCGTCGCATCGCCCAAGCTGGTCATGGAGGAGTCGCCCGAGTCGTACAAGGACGTGACGGAGGTCGTCGACACCTGCCACGCGGCGGGAATCTCCAGCAAGTGCGTCAAGCTGCGGCCGATCGCAGTCATCAAGGGATAGCGCGACTTTCGTGTTCGGACAACCTTTTTTCAAAAAAGCCCTGACCCTGGGGGGTGCGCGCACTGCGGAGATGCCGCGACGTGAGCGCCGCCTTGTGGCTTGTGCGGCGCAGCGCACTCTCCTGGCTCTCGTGACACGCACGTGCCACGTCGCAGCTCGCACCGTCGCACGACCACGAGCCACGACAGCGGAGCGCAGGCGGGGAGTGGGGTGGTGTCGGGCTCTAGCCCTGTACATTAATCGAAACGTGGAAACCAAAACCAAACCAAGGACTCCCAGTGAGATGGCCGGCCTGGGAGACCAGCAGCGGCACCTTTACACGGACACACCCGCCCTTCTCACTGCCCCGGCGCCCAGGCCCACCCTTCGACCTTCTTTGGCAGCAGCTTGACCGACAGGTCCTCTCCGTGGCCTAGGCAGCCGTCGCCGCCCTGGCCCCAAGTAAAGACGGCGCCGTCGGCGGTGATGGAGATGCTGTGATTGGATCCAGCCGACACAGCGACGACGCGCCGCCCCGCCAAGGCCTCGACCTTCTTGGGCAGCAGCTGGTTCTGCTGATCGCCGTGGCCCAACCGGCCATCACCTCCTGCGCCCCAGCTCCAGACGGCGCCGTCGGCGGTGAAGGCGAGGCTGTGCTCGCGTCCAGCCGAAACAGCGACGACGCGCTGGTCAGCGAATGCCTCAACCTTCTTCGGCAGCAGCTGCCTCTGCTGGTCGCCGTGGCCCAGCTTGCCGTAGTCTCCATCGCCCCAATTCCAGACGCTGCCGTCTGCGGTGATGGCGAGGCTGTGGTACCATCCAGCCGACACAGCGACAACGTGCTGGCCAGCGAAGGCCTCAACCTCCTTCGGCAGCAGCTGGTGCTGCTCGTCGCCGTGGCCCAGCTTGCCAAAGACTCCACCGCCCCAGCTCCAGATGGCGCCGTTGGCGGTGACGGCGAGGCTGTGGCCGCCTCCAGCCGACACAGCGACGACGCGCCGCCCTGCAAAGGTCTCGACCTTCGTGGGCAGCCACTGGGCCTGATCGTCGCCGTGGCCCAGCGGGCCTAAGCCTCCACTGCCCCAGCTCCAGACACTGCCGCTGGCGGTGAGGGCGAGGCTGTGCGCGGCTCCAGCTGACACGCTCACGACGCGCTCACCGCCCAGCGTGGAAGGGAGGCGGGTCGGCGTGTTGAGCCGCGTCACCCCCTCGCCGTGACCGAGCAGGCCTGGATAGATGTGCGGCGCATTGCCGCACGACGAGAGCCGCCCCTCGCCGTCGATGAAGACGCTGTGAGACACGCCTGCTGCCGCCCTCGCCGGCGGGTTGGACTCGCACAGCAGCGCCATAAAGCACAGCCATCGCACGGTGCAGCTCTCGCCCTCGGGCAGCGCCGGCAGCTCCAAGCCGCGCTCCTGCGCCCACAAGCGGATGCCCTCCGCCGCAAGCGAGGCGTGGAAAAGCAGCGAGACGGCCGCGACGCGAGCGATGTCGGCGGGGTCGCAGCGAGAGAGGGCGCGCACGAGGAGCTCCGTGGGGAGGTCCAGGAGTCGGGTGGGCGGCGGCGTGGTTGGCGAGGGAGTGGCGGTGGAGGAGGAGGCGAGGCGGCGCGAGCGGCGGCGCGACATATTGGACATCGCGGTATTTTAGGAAGAAGAATTTTGACGCTGCCCCACGCCCGCCCGACAGCCGGGTGGGGCTTACGACGTGCACTCGCCGCCCGCGCTGCCTCCCCCTCCTCAAATCTCAAAGCCTCTCGCGCAAAAAAGAAAAAGATCCGCGCCTCGGCGTCGATTTCCTCGCGCGCCTCGGCGTCGGCCCCGTCAGCCTGTCAGCCTTTCGCAGCCTGCGTCCTAGCACAAGCCTCGTGTCCTACCTCGGCACGCCGTAATCATGAGGCTCACACCACGCCAAGGCGCGCCGCCTCCGGAGCCGATCGAGTTCACCCGCGAGGACGCCGCGCTGGCGCTCATTGGCCTGTTCCCAATCGCTGCGATTGCGTGGGCTGTGCTGGCTCAATCAAAGTATGTCGCGGCGCTCGCTCAGCTTGGCTCGCTCTTCGAGCGAGAGGAAAGCCACGGCCTTGCGACGAACCAGCGCGCGAGCGCGGCCGAGAAGCAGAAGGACAAGGCACTACACAAGGCCAGACTGGCGGTGAAGAGCGCCGACAAGGCGTTCTACGTCCTCGGCGTGCTCAACGTCGCCATCACAGCATACATCGCCGGCGCCGCTCCTCGGCACTACTACCTCTGGCACACGCCAAAGGCGCTGGTGCTCGTCGCGGTGCGCTGGTACACCTTTTTGCAGCAGGGGAAGCACTGGCTCCTCGCCGATTTCTGTTACTGGGCGAATTTGATCGGGCTGTTGTACTTGTGGAGGTACCGGGAGAGCGCGCTCCTCTTCCAGGTCTTCTTCATGGTGTCAAACGGCCCGGTGGCGTGGAGCGTGCTCGCCTTCAGCCAGTCGCTCATCTTCCACTCGCACGCCCACATGACCTCGGTCTTCCTCCACCTCTCGCCGCTCGTCGTCACCTGGACGCTGCGCTGGAATGCGACGCCGGGCTTCACGGCACGCCTCCCGCGACACTCTTCCTAGGCACCTCCAGGACACCTCCGAGACGCCTCCGAGACACCCCCAAGCCCCGCGTGCCAGCTCCTCTGCCCGCCTGATGCCACCCAGCCCGCCTCCTCAGGTGTGCGATCCCGAGTGCGGCCGGAACCCGCTCCTGCTGCTGGCTGACGGGACGAGGTACTTTTACCTCCCCTGGATCCTCGGCTACTACCTCCTCGTCTTCATCGTCCTCGGCGACTTTCTCAAGCGGAACGCCTACCAGACGCTCTTCGACCGCGTAACGACCACGGGGCCGAGCGCAAAGGTGCTCACCGCTCTCTTCAGGAGGTGCGCCGCCCACCCGCGCGAGCGCCAGCCGCCCGCGGCGAAGTCTAGCCCCCCCCCCCCCCCCCCTTCTTGCGGGAGTCCTGCGGCCCTCCACAGTAGCTCCGCTGCCTCGCTCCAGCTCCCCTCCGCCCCCCTCTCTCCTCACACACACTGACGTCAGAAGAAGCCGCACTCGGCCCCCACACTCCCCCCCTCTCTCCTCCCCCCTTTGCGGTAAAAGCCCCGCCCGCCCACAGGTTCGGCGTGACGGGTGACCTCGCCCAGCGCGCCGTCTACATGCTGATGCACCTCATCTTTGGGGTCGTGACAATGGGACTCGCCACAATCTACTGGCACTCGTTCGTCGCCGTGAGCCACCCCGTCGCTCCAGCCCTCCCACCCCGCGCACGCGCCTCGCCCGCCATCGCAGCCCGCGGCCGGCTCCTTGCGCGACTCCGCTCCCGCCGCGCCTCTGCACCGCAGCACACCGCCTTCCTCCTCACCATCCTGACCGCCTCGATCTACAACGCCGCCGGGTACTACTTCACCGTCTTCTCGCAGCGGTACGAGAAGGGCGTGGACGAGCAGATCAAGCAGGCGCAGCTTGAGCCGCCGAAGGGGTGCTGATGGAAAGCTCTGAGCGGCACGGGCTTGCGGTGTCAGAGAGCCGGTCTTCGCCCTGGGTTGCGGTTCGCATGCGTGCGTGAAAATACGCGCGGCGGCCTTGTTATCTGTTTACTGTTTTGTGATGTGAAGTGTCACTTGCCCAAGTGTAATGACTGATGTGTGTGTGTGTGTGTGTGTGTGTGTGTGTGTGTGTAGGGTGTAGCGACGCGGAGTGTGCAATGCCCATGGTTTTACTGATAACACGACCGTACTGCTTCCGCGACCCTGTATTCCGCGACCCTCGCTGGCTCTCTCTCTCTCTCTCTCTCTCTCTCTCTCTCTCTCTCTCTCTCTCTCTCTCTCTCTCTTCTCTCTCTCTCTCTCTCTCTCTCTCTCGCATCTCTCTCTATCATGCTCTATACCACTATGTACTCTCTTACTCGTTGCAGCTGACCTGTGACTCTGTGTAGACTCTGTATACCACCGCCTACAACAACTACAACTACTCTCGAAGACGAGCACCAATCTCGTACAGCTACAACTCCTCCTTTTGCTGGTTGCGGAAGAGCTTCTGCCTCCTCGCCATCGCATGCAGCTCGGGGCAGTTGAGCTCCATGGCACCCCTTGCCTGCAGCCTGTGGACGAGCGGCATCGCGACGCCATTGGCATCCCTGAGCGTGCAGCCGACGCGCTTGCGCTCGGCCGCGCTGTCGAGGACGGGCCATCGCAAATTGAGCCAGGGCTGCGGATGCTCCTGCGCAATGCACTCTGCCTCGCCCGCGGCGGCGCCCCACTCCTCGTCGCACGGGTGCGAGAGCGCCGTCTGCTTCGTCTCGTGCGGCAGCAAGTGCGCCGCCGTCATGCCAAACGACGAGAAGGCGTGGTTGCCCGCCTGCAGCAAGTGCGTCGCGTGCGCCAGCGCGAGCAGCTCGACGGCGGCCGTCCTCCAGCCGTTAGCCGTGTTGCGAGAGGCGGCGTCGCCCAGGAAGGATCCGGCGGGCGGCGCGTAGTGGCCGGCCGCGGCCACGCCGGCACTCGCGCGGAAGCCGGCCACGAGGCGTGTGCGCAGCGATGCCTTGTCCGATGCCACCAGCACGCCGACGCGTTTTGGTGCGGGCGCCGCCGCCGCTGCTGCGGCGGTGCTGGTGGCGCTGGTGGCGCCGCTGCTGCTAATGCCGGTGAGGTTCGCGACGCGACTCGCAACGCAGCGCTTGATCGAGGCTTCGAGGCGCGCATACGAGGCCCTGCCCGCCTCCGCGATGTCGCGCGTCGAGTCCTGCACGCGCACGTGTACCGCCATGAGCTCCCGCGCGCCACTCGCCGCGGCGTCGCCGGCCGCGCCGGCGATGAGGGAGTGCTGGCGGAGGAAGGCTCGGGCCTCGCGGAGGATGGCACGCTTGGGCGGCAGCAGGAAGCGCAGCAGCGGCCCAAAGATGTCGCGCATCACCTCCTCCCCCTTGGCATCGGCGCCGGTGAGCTCGAGCGAGAGGCCGTCCACGTACGCGCCGCTGGGCGAAAAGAGGCGTGCAATGTCCTCTCGAAAGCCGTGCCCGTTCAGCTCGAGGAGTGGAACGTACCAGAGCGGCGTTTTGAGGGCCAGAACGCGGGGGCCTGGAGCAGGCGCGTCCGAAGAGGGCGGCGGCGAGTCGGCAGAGCAAGTGAGGTGCTCGACCGTCGAGTAGCGGCCGGGAGCAGGTTGCGGCTGGCCGGGAAGCGGCCGCAGCCGCAGCGCGCGATAATTGGACGCCGCGCTGCCGCCGCCACCACCGACCGTGGCGGGCTCGACGAGCGCGTGAAGGTTGGCCATCCGACCGGGCGCCTTTGAGCGCTCGAGCACGTCCACGAGCCTCCAGAGAGGGCGGCCCCGTTGCTCGCCCACGAGGTCGAAGGCGTCGCACAGCAGCGCGTTGTGCGAGCGGATGCCCTCGCGGTCGTCGCCGTCCTCGGAGTCGGAGCACTGCAGGTCGGGGCTGAGGAAGAAGAGCGCCCGGTCGGTGAGGAGCGCGTGAGCCATGAAGGAGGCCGCCACGATCGCCTGGTTGCCCAACCCCACGTTGGGCAGCGCCGCGAGCAGCACACGCGGCGGCGCATCTGGCTCCTCGCCGTCTCCGGCCAGCTCACCAGCGACCCACGCGGCAGCGCGCCGCTGCATCGCCAGGAAGCGCCGGAGGCGCGCGTGCAGTTCGTCAGTGCCCGCCACGTGCGCCTCGTCAAAGTCGTACGCTGCTCCTGCAAGACTGGCCTCGTCCTCCTCCTCCGCCCCCGCCGTGCTGCTGCCGCTGCCGCTCGCAGCAGCCGCCGCTGCCGTGGCCATGAGCTGCTCGAGCTCCCTCATGCCCACCGCCGCCACCTCGTCCACCGGACTCAGGGCTCGCGTGAGGGTGAAGGCTGCGCGCGCCTCGGATCGCAGCGCGGGCGCGTCGGGCGCGCGCACGGCCGTCGCGTCGTGCGCGGCCGCCAGCGCGATGAGGCCGTGCGTGGCGGTGAGCAGCGGGTTAGGAAGTCGCGGGTCGGTCGCGTCCCTCTTGACGATCTCGAGCAGCGCCTCTGCGTCCGCGGCAGGCCAAAAGCTGTACGTGCGCCCGAACGCATCCTTGCTTCCGCCGCCCTCCGCCGCGGCCGTGAGGGCGCGAGAGAGACCCGAGGCCTCCGAGGCGGCGCGCACGTACGCGAGGGCCTCCCGCTTCAGCCGTGGGCTGCGCCGTCCGAAGACGCGCATCAGCAGCACCGCCTCAGAGTGGAGCCCGAGCACGTACGCAAGGCGGCGGGTGGGGCCGCTGCCGCTGCTGCTGCCGCTGCTGCTCCTGCTGCTCCTGCTGCTCCTGTCGCTGGACGCGGGCGCGGGCATGATTCCTTCGGAGAGCATCTTACGCAGCTGCCAGCGGTCGGTCTTGAGGGCAACCCAGTGCCCCTGCACCACCCGCTTCGCGTGCGCGAGGTGGTCACGCCTCTCCGGGTCGGACGCGTGCTGCTCGCGCAGGCTGTCGAAGACGTCCTTGTTCTCGGCCACCGCCGGCGGACGTCCGTCGCGCATAAGCGGCGTGCCGTCCTTCTTGTAGAGCTCGTGCGCGTGCTCGCATGCGGCGTGCGCCACCGCGGTCGCGTTGTGAAAGCTCCGCGGGTCACGCTGCAGCCACTTGCGCGCCTTGCTCATCACGATACACAAGTTGAGCCACGCGGCCGGGGCGTGCTGGTCCGCGTCTTGCAGCGACTGCCAGAGGAAGAGCAGCGCCTCGTCCTCGCGGCCGGCCTTGGCGTGCGAGAGGGCCAGCTCTCCCACGGAACTCGTCGGCAGCAGCGGGGACGGCTGCCAGTAGCCGCGCGGGCGGTTGGCGAGGAGAGCCGCCACCGCCGGCACCTAAACAATAAGTGCAAGCGGACTCACAACACAGAGACGGCAACGGACGTTTTTCAGCCCTGCAACGGTGGCGGCACCTTGCTCGCGAGATCTGCCAGATTCTCGTCGGCGACCGGCTGCCGGTCGAGAGGGTCGAGACGGCGGGACAGCTCAAAGGCCGCGAGCGACCAAATGGCGTGCGTCGGGTCAGCTTTTTTCTTGTACGCGGCGCGCATGAGCGCGACGCCCAAATTATTCCAAATGTTCGCCGTGACGGTCTGCTCGCCGCTGTCCAGGAGCGCTGCCGCACGAAAGAGCGACGCAGTGCGCCTTGGACTCGGCGGTTGTGCGCTCGCCGAGTCGATGGCGCGTCGGTTGTAAGTGGGCTGCTGCGCGTGCGTGATCGGCAGGGAGCCAGCGATCAGGAGGAGGAGAGATGCGGACAGGAATGCCAGAAGCCTGGCGATGTCAGGCATCGAGGGAGGAGGGGAAGACGTCGGGGAAGACGTCGGGTTGAGCTGGCCTGGGTTGACTGCACCGAGGCAAGTATTAGACCCACGAAATCCGAGCCTCGCCACCGCCCCGCGGCGGGCGCGCTTTCTTTTTCAGTGTATTGGCTCACAACTCTGAAAGGGTCGTTGAGCCCTCGCGCAGAACCATCGCATCAGCACTCGAATCTCGTAACAACCATCGGCCGCGAGCGCCCCCCCCCCCCCCCGGCCCCTGCCGTACGTCCGCCGCGTTCAATCCAGCCCTGGCATAGCTTCGCGCCCCGGAACGCGAGAGGCCTCGCTCGAAGATCGCTCCCATGAGCGAGGACGAGGACGATGACGCCTCAAAGCTCGCCGCGCTTCAGGCCGAGCTCGCAACGCTCCGGCTCAAGGCGAAGGAGGGCGGCAAGCTGAGCGGCAAGGACAAGCGCCAGCTCAAGAAGCTCGAGGCGGCCGAGGAGCGGTGGAAGGAGTACGCCGCCGTCGCCGCGCCCAGTGCGGAGGAGGAGACGCCAGATGGGCATGGCGCTGTGGCTGAAGAGCATGAGGAGGGCCCGACTGTCCATCTCAATTTGAAGTACAGGCAAAGCGACTTCAACATGACCTCTCTCACATGCGAGCGCATCGACCGTTCAAAGTTTGATGAACAAGTTCGGGAGGCGCAGGGTCTCGTGCTACTCTTCAGGGGCACAGAAAGATTCTCGCGCCAGTCCTCGCGAAAAATTCTCGAGAAAGTCCTCGCGAAATGTGCGTTCACCGGGAACTACGAGGCTCATCTCACGGACCTGAAGGTGCTGCTCTCCGCTGCGGACAAAGGTGCCTGCTTCGAATACAGGTATGGCGGCCGCGCGGGGGAGGATGCCGTCCTCGCATATGTCTCAAACCATTGCATCAGCAGCAAATCCAATTTTCACTTTGAGGGCGTGTCACGGGAGTATGACAGTGGTCTGGGCCAGGGCATCACCATAGTACCCCCACCGCCGCCGCCGCACCGTTTCTTCGTTGCGCATGGCGGTGACGGCTTGCTCTTCGTGCGAAACGTGCCGCCCGCCACAACAGAGGAAGAGCTTAAAGGACACTTTGAGAGCTCGGCCGGCATCTTAGACGGCACGGGCGGCGTGGAAGGCGTGGATTTTCTTGGCGACAGCGGGCGCGCGATGGTCAAGCTCGCCAACTGGTCGCGCGCAGACGCGTTCGTGCAGGCGCTCGACGGCAGCGACTTTGGCGGGCTACAGCTGAGCGTGAGGCGCGTCGGGGCGGCCTTTTGGCCTGGGCCTTGTTGAAGCTTACTACCGGCACCTCGTGTGCCGGTACCCAAATGGCCGAATTGCAATCAGCCCAGCCGGCAGCTCGAAGACCCTGTGCCGCACTTTTAATACCGTGGGGCTCCTGTGGTCTTCTAGACGTGGAGAAACAAGGGAGGCATCCCCCCCCTTGCCCCATACCTTTCCTTACCTTACATTACCTTACCTTACTACTGGCTCAGCCACTGCTTCCGCGCGCGGGGTCCGGCTGCGGCTCCTGGCGTGCGGGGACGACGCGCGAGTCAGAGAGTCAGAGACGCCCCCGCCGCCGTGCAGTACCTGAACGATATGCGCGGGATCGGAAGGACGACCTGAGAAATACTCAGGACCACAGAAGACAGGGGACGCTCGACGCACGGGGCAGAGCGTATTACGAGCCGATATCGTCATTCGTCTCGGGGGCTGGGCCTGGGGGGCTCTCGCTCTCGGCGCTCCTCTCAGTGTCGAACCTCTCACTTTTTCATTTTGATTTTCTTTTTGATTCGCACAACATGCGCTCCCAGAGTGCAGAGAGCGTGCACATTAACCCGTCGCGAGAGGCCGCGGACTGAAGACACGGCGGCTCTCAAAACCCAAATCACTATTTCACTTGTCCACGTCGCCCCGCTCCAGCCAGCGCTGCGGCGTGTGGTCGAGCGGGATGTAGGGGGTCGGCCCGCGGTCGGGCGTCGGCTCCGCAAAGTCGGCGCCGGCGCAAGCCTCGGTCATGCGCCGCACCCCCTCGGCGCTCACGGCGGGGTTGGTGTGCAGCGTGACCTTCTCGACGACAAAGGAGCCGCCGCTGATTGCGTCGGCGAGCGCGAAGACGCCCTCGTCCGAGATCCGGTTGTCGTGCAGCGAGAGCGCCGCCAGCTTTGGCGACGGGTGGCACAGCTCGGCGAGCGCGCGCACACCCTCCGATCCGATGCCGTTGGTGGAGAGGTGCAACTCCCGCAGTGCGGGCGCGTGCTCCCGCCTGCGCGTGCGTTGCGACTGAGCCGCGTGCCGCTGCCGTGCCCGAGGCGCGCTCTCGCAGAGGGAGGGGAGGGGAGAGGGTAGGCCGTCTCGGCCGCGCGTGGAAGGGAGGCCGGTGCAGGCAGCAGCAGTTTTCAGGTACACAGCGGCGGCCCACGAGGCGGGAAGCGGAGAGGGAGGGTGGGTGGGTGGGTGAGAGTGGGTGTGGAGGGGCGGCTGCCCGTTTGCCTGAGCGCCGGCGCGAGCGCGGCGAGGCCCTCGTCGCCGAGGCTGTTGCCGTAGAGGTAGAGGTACTTGAGCTTGCGCAGCGGCGAGGCGGCAGTGAAGCTGCGAGCGATGGCGGCGCCGTCCGCCTTGTTGAGCTTGCGGTGTGTCCACAGCAGTTCGGTCGCCTCGCGGTAGTCCGCCTGCTCACAGCTTAGAGCGGTGGAGAGCCCGCCGTTCACGGCCACAGCTCCGTCGCGTCGCGGCAGTCTGCCGGCGATATGTGGCCGACGCTCTGGCCGAGCATCGGCCGCGGCTTGGCTGCCGCGCGCACCGCCTCGTACGAGAAGAAGAGGTCGACGCGCGTGCAGTGCCAGCCGAGCGCCTCGAGCGGGCCCATCCGCAGCGCCTCCTTGGCGCTCGGCAGCTTTGCGCCGTCGGCGTGGATCTCGACGGCCTGAGGCGTGTGGCGGGTGTGCGTGTGGGCGGGTGTGGGCGGGTGTGGGCGGGTGTGGGCGGGTGTGGGCGAGTGTGGACGGGGTGTGGGCGTGCGTGGGTGGGTGTGGGCGGTGTCGTGTGGGCGGCGGCGGGCACGTGCGAGCGCGGCGAGTGCCTGCTCTGGTGTACGCGGTGGCGTGGCGGTCGGCTGGCGGCGGTTGTACACAGAGAGAAAGGGCTTGACGACTGCCTCGGCCACGGTCTTGCCCAACCACCGCTTGTCCAGCGTGAGCTTGACCGACACGTCGCCGCACGCGACGCGCAGCCGCAACTCCGTCGGCGGCGGCTCTCCAAAGGTTAGCTCCACGCGCGACGCGGCCGGCGGCACCACAAGGCCGGCGGCGGCGAGCCGCGCGTCCGCCACGCGCGACAGAGCGGCTCCGTCGATTTGCACACCGCACAGCGCCTCGACGCTCAGCTGCCGCCCGCCCTCCCTCTGCTGGCTGTTGAACTTTTTGACGAACGGCAGCGCGACAGCCTGCTGGAACGGGCGGGCCTGCCACTTGGCATCGAGCGTGATGGTCAGTTCGAGGCCTTCGCCCGCCACCTTGAAGCGGCGAGGCGCTTGATCGCCCGCAACGTCCGCCATCGCGGTTGAGGATCAACTTGGACCACACACAACCGGGATGGTAATTTCTCGCAGCTGCGAGACAAGTTTTCTCGGAGCGACAGCCTCAAAGACAAAAGGGTGGATGGGTGGGGGGTGACCGCTGGTGAGCGCCAGCGGTGAGCGCCAGCGCGCCCCAGGAACGGTGGGGTGCCCTCGACCGCGCGTCCAAGTCACTTGGGCGGACGAGCGAGCGGCACATGGCCTGACAAAGAGAAATCGGAGTCTAGCGACGAGACCGAATCTGACCAGAGGCCGTCGTCTTCAGACGCCGTCCTCAGACGAAGGTGCCTTTCAGAGGTGTCCTTCAGGAGCGTAGCTGACGTCAGTCTGTGCGCGCTCTCTCGCCTCGTCGAAGTTTGGGATTGATTTTGAGGAAGGGGAGTTTCGCTGGAGACGGGATCCTCGCATGGCTCTGCCGTGGCTGCCGTGCTCGCAGCGGCGCCCGCTCGTGGCCCGCATCAGCCCGAAGCCCGCTGCGGCTTCCCGACTCTTCTGGCTGGGCCGCGACTGCCATGTGGAGCGCCGCGCGGCCGCTGCGCATCGCCAGATCGCCATGTTTGTCGGCGTTGGCGCACACTTCGATGCACGCTCCGGAGGCATCCTCGGCCGCACACCCGCTGCACAGATTGCCCGTGGGCCCGAGGCGGTGTGCGACTCGCTGGTGCGCCGGGCGCGGCGCCGTCAGCGCCGCGGCGTGGCTGCTCGCGCTGCCTCGGCGCTGCCCACTCACGGCTCAGCGGGCGGGCAGCACTATCGCTGCTTGTGCGCCAGCCGCGGGCGCTCATCGCCCGACCGCCTCTCTCTGGGGGGGGGGGGGGGGCGGCGAGCGCTCACGTGTGTGTGCGGCTGGACCACTCTCGAGGGCGACGGCGAGGCTGCCGCCACCGCCGCCGCCTCGAGTGCGCGCTGCGCCAGAATCACTTCTCCAGCCGCACCGACGAGGGCGTCGGGTTCGGCGCTCGCGGCAAGGCGCTTGCCCGAAGGGCGAGAGCCTCCTGACCCGTCGCGCCCGCTTTGCGGCGGCGCCGCTGCCCTCGCACGCCGCCGCCGCTGCTGTCTCGCCTCACGCGACGTGCTGTCGGGAATCGCCCGCCGCCGACTACTCTACGGAAACGTGGCGGTCTGCAGTGCGACCCGCCGCTGTGGCGGCAGCGCGCTCCCCTTGTCCCGGCGCCCGGCGAGTGGACCCGGCAACACCTCCGCCGTCGGCGGGGCACGCTCGGCTCGCCCCTGCCGGCGCGTGCTGCCGATCGCGCCGCGACCCAGTCCGCGGCGCCTTCCACTGCCTCGACGGCAGCTCGGCGAGCGGCGTTGGCGCTCGCTCCGGCGCACGCCCTGGTCGCATGCCCGCCCTGTCGGTGTGCCCGAGGCGATGTGCGGCTGAGCTCAGAGCTGTCGCCGTCGCTCACTCACTCACCGGGCGCAGCGCCGCCAGCACCACGGCATGGCCGCTCGCGCGGCCTCTGCGCGCTGCCCACGCGCGGCTCGGCCGGCGGGCGGCACCGTCGCCACTCGCGGGCCAGCCGCGGCCGCTCATTGCCACCCCGTCTCTGTGGAAAGGGTGGCGGGCGCGCGCGTGTGCGCGGGTGCGTGCGGCCGGACGACGGCGAGGCCGCCGCCCCGCAGCCGCTCTGCTTTAAGCGTGCGCCGCGCCGTGGTCCCGCCTCTCCAGCCTCGCCGACGAGGGCGTCGTGCTCAGCGCTCAGCGAGGCGCCTGCCCGAGGAGCGAGAGCCTCCTGGCCCGTCGCGTCCGCTTGCGGCGCCGCCGCCGCCCTCGCATGCCGCCACCGCTGCCGTCTCGTTCTGCGCGACGAAACGCTCGTGTTCACTGCCGCCGACGCGCTTGCGGCGACGCTGCGTTCTGCGGCGCGACCCGCCGCGGTGGCAGCAGCGCGCTCTCCTCGTCCCGCTCCCGGCGAGTGGACCCGGCGCTACCTCTTGCCGTCGGCGTGGCACGCTCGCCTCTCGCTTGGCGACGCGCTGCCGGCCGGGCCGCGGCGCAGTCCGCTGCCTCGTCAGCGGCCCGACGAGCGGTGTTGGTGCTCGCTTCGGCGCGTGCTCTGGAGGCGTGTCCGGCCGCCCGCCCGCCGCACTGCCTGTGCCTGTATGCCCAAGACGATTTGCGGCCGGGCTCCGAGCTGCCGCCGCCGCTGGTGCCCTGGGCGCGGCGCTGCTACCGCGCCATGTCGTGGCTGCTCGCGCTGCCTCTGCGCTGCCTACGCGCGGCTCGGCGGGCGGGCGACACTATCGCCGCTCGTGCACCAGCCGCGGGCGCCCGTCACCACCCCGCCTCTCTGGGGGGGGGCGGCGAGCGCTCGCGTGTGCGTGCGGCTGCGCCACTCTCGAGGGCGCCGTCGGGGCTGCCGCCACCGCCGCCGCTCTACTTAGCACTGCGCCGCGGTTGCCTCTCCGGCCGCGTTGACAGGAGCGTCGCGCTCGATGCCGGCAAGGCGCTTGCCCGGGGGGCAAGCCTCCCACTGGCCCGGCGCTCCCGCTCTGCGGCGGCGCCGCCGCCCTCACACGCCGCCGCCGCCGCCGTCCTGCTCCGCGCGTATTGTTGTCGGGGGCTCGCCCGCCGCCGGCACGCTCTGCGGCGATGTAGCGGTCTACAGCGCGACCCGCCGCTGCGGCGGTAGCGCGTTTTCCTCGTCCCGGCGCCCGGCGAGTGGGCCTGACAGCATCTCCTGCCGTCGGCGGGGCGCGCCTGCCTCTTCCTCTGGCACGCGTGCGGCCGGCCGGGCCACGGCGCAGTCCGCTGCCGCTCGGCGGCCCGACGAGCGGCGTGAAGGGTCACTTTGGCGCACGCTCTGGAGGCGTGCTCGGCCGCGTGCCCGCTGCACTGCCTGTGGGCCCGAGGCGATGTGCGGCTGAGCTCCGAGCTGTCGCCGCCGCTGCGGCGCCGGGCGCGCCGCCGGTACCACCGCGTGGCTGCTCGTGGTGCCCCTGCGCTGCCTATTGTGGTTCGGCAGGCAGGCGACACTGTCGCCGCTCGTGCGCCGGCCGCGGGCACCCGTCGCCGTCCCGTCTCTCCGGGAGGAGGGGGGCGGCGTGCGCTCACGTGTGCGGGCGCCAGACCACTTTCGAGGGCGACTGCGAGGCGGCCGCCCCAGCCGCCGCTCCGCTTTGCACGCGCGCTGCGCTGTGGTCGCCTCTCCAGCCTCGCTGACGAGGGCGTCGCGCTCAGCGCTCGGCAGGGCGCTTGCTGAGGAGCGAGAGCCTCCCAGCCCGTCGCTCACGCCTTGCAGCGCCTCTGCCGCTCTCACACGCCGCCGCCGCTACCGTCTCGCTCCGCGCGACGCGACGCTCGTCTTCGCCCGCCGCCAATATGTACGGCGACGTTGCGGTCTGCAGTGCGATCCGCCGCGCTGACGGCAGTGCGCCTCTCCTCGTCCCGGCGCCCGGCGAGTGGGCCGGGCAGTGCCCCTTACCGTCGGTGGGGCGCGCTCGCCTCCCCCCCTTGGCGACGTGCTGCCGGCCGGGCCGCGGCGCCGTCCGCTGCCGCGGCGGCGGCTCGGCGAGCGGTATTGGGTGCTCGTCTCGGCGCACGCTCTGGAGGCGGTGCCCGGTCGCATGCCCGCTGCACTGCCTGTATGCCCGAGACGGTTTGCGGCCGGGCTCAGAGCTGCCGCCGTCGCTGGTGCACCGGGCGCGGCGCTGCTACCGCGCCGTGGCGTGGCTGCTCGCGCTGCCTCTGCGCTGCCCACGCGCGGCTCGGCGGGCGGGCGGCGCCATCCCCGCTCGTGCACCAGCCGCGGGCGCCCGTCACCACCCCGCCTCTCTGGGGGGGGGCGGCGAGCGCTCGCATGTGCGTGCGGCTGCGCCACTCTCGAGGGCGCCGGCGGGGCCGCCGCCACCGCCGCCGCTCTACTTGAGCGAGCACTGCGCCACGGTCGCCTCCCCGGCCGCGCCGACGAGAGCGTCGCGCCCAATGCTCGGCGAGGAACTTGCCCTGGGCGCAAGCCCCCCGCTGGCCCGGCGCTCCCGCTTTGCGGCGCCTTCGCACGCCGCCGCCGCTGCCGTCTCACTCCGCGCAACGTGCCGCCGGGGCTAGCCCGCCGCCGACATGCTCTGCAGCGATGTGGCGGTCTGCAGTGCTATCCGCCTCGGTGGCAGCACTCTCCCCTCGTCCCGGCGCCCGGCGACTGGACCTGACAGCATCTCCTGCCGTCTGTGGGGCACCCTCGCACCACCCTCTTGGCGACGCGTGCTGCCGGCCGGGCCGCGGCCCAGCCCGCTACGCTCGACGGCGGGTCGGCGAGCGGCGTTGGTGCTCACTTCGGCGCACGCTCTGCCGGTGCCTGTATGCCCGAGGCGATCTGCGGCCGGGCTCAGAGCTGCCGCCGCCGCTAGTACCCCGGCGCGGCGCTGCTACCGCGCCTGTCGTGGCTGCTCGCGCTGCCTCTGCGCTGCCCACGCGTGGCTCAGCGGGCGGGCGACACTATCGCCACTCGTGCACCAGCCGCGGGCGCCCGTCACCACCCCGCCTCTTTGAGGGGGGGGCGGCGAGCGCTCGCGTGTGCGTGCGGCTGCGCCACTCTCGAGGGCGCCGGCGGGGCTGCCGCCACCGCCATCGCTCTACTTGAGCGGGCACTGCGCCGCGGTTGCCTCTCCGGCCGCGCCGACGAGAGCGTCGCCCTCAGTGCCCGGCAAGTCGCTTGCCCGGGGAGCGAGCCTCCCGCTGGCCCGGCGCCCTCCGCTCCGCGGCGCCTTCGCACGCCGCCGCCGCTGCCGTCTCACTCCGCGCAACGTGCCGCCGGGGTTCGCCCGCCGCCGACATGCTCTGCAGCGATGTGGCGGTCTGCAGTGCGATCCGCCTCGGTGGCAGCGCGCTCCCCTCGTCCCGGCGCCCGGCGACTGGACCTGACAGCATCTCCTGCCGTCGGTGGAGCACGCTCGCCCCTCCCCCTTGGCGACGCGTGCTGCCGGCCGGGCCGCGGCCCAGTCCGCTACGCTCGACGGCGGGTCGGCGAGCGGCGTTGGTGCTCACTTCGGCGCACGCTCTGGAGGCGTGCTCGGCTGCACGCCCGCTGCACTGCCTGCGTGCCCGAGGCGATGTGCGGCTGAGCTCAGAGCTGTCGGCGTCGCTCACTCACTCACCGGGCGCAGCGCCGCCAGCACCACGGCGTGGCCGCTCGCGCGGCCTCTGCGCGCTGCCAACACGTGGCTCGGCCGGCGGGCGGCACCATCGCCACTCGCGGGCCAGCCGCGGCCGCTCATTTCCACCCCGTCTCTATGGAAAGGGCGGCGGGCGGCGCGCGCGTGTGTGCGGGTGCGTGCGGCCGGACGACGGCGAGGCCGCTGCCCCGCAGCCGCTCTGCTCTAAGCGTGCGCCGCGCCGTGGTCTCGCCTCTCCAGCCTCGCCGACGAGGGCGTCATGCTCAGTGCTCGGCGAGGCTCCTGCCCGAGGAGCGAGAGCCTCCTGGCCCGTCGCGTCCGCTTGCGGCGCCGCCGCCGCCCTCGCATGCCGCCACCGCTGCCGTCTCGTTCTGCGCGACGAAACGCTCGTGCTCACTGCCGCCGACGCGCTTGCGGCGACGCTGCGTTTTGCGGTGCGATCCGCCGCGGTGGCAGCAGCGCGCTCTCCTCGTCCCGCTCCCGGCGAGTGGACCCGGCGCTACCTCTTGCCGTCGGCGTGGCACGCTCGCCTCTCGCTTGGCGACGCGCTGCCGGCCGGGCCGCGGCGCAGTCCGCTGCCTCGACGGCGGCTCGGCGAGCGGTGCCGATGCTCGCTTCGGCGCGCGCTCTGGAGGCGTGTCCGGCCGCATGCCCGCCGCACTGCCTGTGCCTGTATGCCCGAGGCGATCTGCGGCCGGGCTCCGAGCTGCCGCCGCCGCTGGTGCCCTGGGCGCGGCGCTGCTACCGCGCCATGTCGTGGCTGCTCGCGCTGCCTCTGCGCTGCCCACGCGCGGCTCAGCGGGCGGGCGACACCATCGCCGCCCGTGCGCCAGCCGCGGGCGCCCGTCACCACCCCGCCTCTCTGGGGGGGGGCGGCGAGCGCTCGCGTGTGCGTGCGGCTGCGCCACTCTCGAGGGCGCCGGCGGGGCCGCCGCCACCGCCGCCGCTCTACTTGAGCGGGCACTGCGCCGCGGTCGCCTCCCCGGCCGCGCCGACGAGAGCGTCGCGCCCAATGCTCGGCAAGGAACTTGCCCTGGGCGCAAGCCCCCCGCTGGCCCGGCGCTCCCGCTTTGCGGCGCCTTCGCACGCCGCCGCCGCTGCCGTCTCACTCCGCGCAACGTGCCGCCGGGGCTAGCCCGCCGCCGACGTGCTCTGCAGCGATGTGGCGGTCTGCAGTGCTATCCGCCTCGGTGGCAGCACTCTCCCCTCGTCCCGGCGCCCGGCGACTGGACCTGACAGCATCTCCTGCCGTCGGTGGGGCACCCTCGCCCCGCCCCCTTGGCGACGCGTGCTGCCGGCCGGGCCGGGGCCCAGTCCACTACGCTCGACGGCGGGTCGGCGAGCGGCGTTGATGCTCACTTCGGCGCACGCTCTGGAGGCGTGCTCGGCTGCACGCCCGCTGCACTGCCTGCGTGCCCGAGGCGATGTGCGGCTGAGCTCAGAGCTGTCGCCGTCGCTCACTCACTCACCGGGCGCAGCGGTGGGACATTGCGTCCATCGGGACATTGCGTCCATCGGGACATTGCGTCCATCGGGCCAGCTCGCCTTCGGGTCAGCTGGCCATCGGGACATTGCGTCCATCGGGACAGCTCGCCTTCGGGTCAGCTGGCCATCGGGACATTGCGTCCATCGGGACAGCTCGCCTTCGGGTCAGCTGGCCATCGGGACATTGCGTCCATCGGGACAGCTCGCCTTCGGGTCAGTTGGCCATCGGGACATTGCGTCCATCGGGACAGCTCGCCTTCGGGTCAGCTGGCCATCGGGACATTGCGTCCATCGGGACAGCTCGCCTTCGGGTCAGCTGGCCATCGGGACATTGCGTCCATCGGGACGGCTCGCCTTCGGGTCAGCTGGCCATCGGGACATTGCGTCCATCGGGACAGCTCGCCTTCGGGTCAGCTGGCCATCGGGACATTGCGTCCATTGGGACAGCTCGCCTTCGGGTCAGCTGGCCATCGGGACATTGCGTCCATCGGGACATTGCGTCCATCGGGACATTGCGTCCATCGGGACAGCTCGCCTTCGGGTCAGCTGGCCATCGGGACATTGCGTCCATCGGGACAGCTCGCCTTCGGGTCAGTTGGCCATCGGGACATTGCGTCCATCGGGACAGCTCGCCTTCGGGTCAGTTGGCCATCGGGACATTGCGTCCATCGGGACAGCTCGCCTTCGGGTCAGTTGGCCATCGGGACATTGCGTCCATCGGGACAGCTCGCCTTCGGGTCAGTTGGCCATCGGGACATTGCGTCCATCGGGACAGCTCGCCTTCGGGTCAGTTGGCCATCGGGACATTGCGTCCATCGGGACAGCTCGCCTTCGGGTCAGTTGGCCATCGGGACATTGCGTCCATCGGGACAGCTCGCCTTCGGGTCAGCTGGCCATCGGGACATTGCGTCCATTGGGACAGCTCGCCTTCGGGTCAGCTGGCCATCGGGACATTGCGTCCATCGGGACATTGCGTCCATCGGGACATTGCGTCCATCGGGACAGCTCGCCTTCGGGTCAGCTGGCCATCGGGACATTGCGTCCATCGGGACAGCTCGCCTTCGGGTCAGTTGGCCATCGGGACATTGCGTCCATCGGGACAGCTCGCCTTCGGGTCAGTTGGCCATCGGGACATTGCGTCCATCGGGACAGCTCGCCTTCGGGTCAGTTGGCCATCGGGACATTGCGTCCATCGGGACAGCTCGCCTTCGGGTCAGTTGGCCATCGGGACATTGCGTCCATCGGGACAGCTCGCCTTCGGGTCAGTTGGCCATCGGGACATTGCGTCCATCGGGACAGCTCGCCTTCGGGTCAGTTGGCCATCGGGACATTGCGTCCATCGGGACAGCTCGCCTTCGGGTCAGTTGGCCATCGGGACATTGCGTCCATCGGGACAGCTCGCCTTCGGGTCAGTTGGCCATCGGGACATTGCGTCCATCGGGACATTGCGTCCATCGGGACATTGCGTCCATCGGGCCAGCTCGCCTTCGGGCCAGCTGGCCATCGGGCCAGCTCGCCTTCGGGTCAGCTGGCCATCGGGCCAGCTCGCCTTTCCTCGTCCCGGCGCCCGGCGAGTGGGCCTGGCAGTACCCCTTACCGTCGGTGGGGCGCGCTCGCCTCCCCCCCTTGGCGACATGCTGCCGGCCGGGCCGCGGCGCCGTCCGCTGCCGCGGCGGCGGCTCGGCGAGCGGTATTGGGTGCTCGTCTCGGCGCACGCTCTGGAGGCGGTGCCCGGCCGCATGCCCGCTGCACTGCCTGTATGCCCGAGGCGATTTGCGGCCGGGCTCAAAGCTGCCGCCGCCGCTGGTGCGCCGGGCGCGGCGCTGCTACCGCACCATGTCGTGGCTGCTCGCGCTGCCCCTGCGCTGCCCACGCGCGGCTCGGCGGGCGGGCAACACCATCGCCGCTCGTGCACCAGCCGCGGGCGCCCGTCACCACCCCGCCTCTTTGAGGGGGGGGGCGGCGAGCGCTCGCGTGTGTGTGCGGCTGGGCCACTCTCGAGGGCGCCGGCGGGGCTGCCGCCACCGCCATCGACGGCGGCTCGACGAGCGGTGTTGGTGCTCGCTTCGGCGCGCGCTCTGAAGGCGTGTTCGACCGCGTGCCCGCTGCACTACCTGTATGCCCGAGGCGGATCGCAGTCCTGGCAGTCGCCGTCGCAGTTCTCGCAGTTCTGTCAGTCGCCGTCGCAGCCAAGCCATGCGGTCTGCTTGCGATTACCTTGGAGCAAATGGATGGACCACCCGCCCACCCTGTCAACATCATGTGGGAGGAACGTTGATACGTTGATGGCGCCAGCGCCTGCTGTTGACAAGTGGGGAGCAGACGGCTTCATCGCGAAGCTGCCCCCAGCAGGCGTCTTGACGGGTATCAAAATTCTTCCCTACGAAAGAGGCCAACGGACCCGAGAAGGTAATTTCTCGCAGCTGCGAGACAAGTTTTCTCGGAGCGACAGCCTCAAAGACAAAAGGGTGGATGGGTGGGGGGTGACCGCTGGTGAGCGCCAGCGGTGAGCGCCAGCGCGCCCCAGGAACGGTGGGGTGCCCTCGACCGCGCGTCCAAGTCACTTGGGCGGACGAGCGAGCGGCACATGGCCTGACAAAGAGAAATCGGAGTCTAGCGACGAGACCGAATCTGACCAGAGGCCGTCGTCTTCAGACGCCGTCCTCAGACGAAGGTGCCTTTCAGAGGTGTCCTTCAGGAGCGTAGCTGACGTCAGTCTGTGCGCGCTCTCTCGCCTCGTCGAACCCACCACCATCCCCTTTCTCCTCCTATCTGTCTTGTGTGTGCCTTGCTGGGGGGAGCAGACGGCTTCATCGCGAAGCTGCCCCCAGCAGGCGTCTTGACGGGTATCAAAATTCTTCCCTACGAAAGAGGCCAACGGACCCGAGAAGGTTGTCCGATAAAAAGAATGAGCGCGCTTGGGAGGTCCGTTTTATTCATTTATGTATCATGTGCATGTCTAGCCACCCAGGCCGCGCACGATGCGGTGCTGCCCATCCGCCGTCCAACCTTCGACGCCGAAAGGCGCTCGGAGGCAGTGACGCTGGACCAGATCCTGGAATGCCGCCGCGGTGTATCGCGCTGCCTGCGCGCAGACGCGCCTGTCGTGCTCCTTGCGTGCGAGCTTGTAGAGCTGGTAGGGCAGCCACTGCGCCGGGCTGTCGTTGTTCGGGTCGTTGAGCAGGCGCTGCACGCTGAGGAGGATCTCGGCAACGGTGAAGGACGGGTGCCATCCGCTCTCGTGGACGGGTGTCAGCGTGGACAGGCAGACTTTGCCAGAGGGGTACACGTTGTTGTGCATGAACCCATTGCCGTGGCAATCCCGCTGGGCTGTGGGGAGGGCCAGCACCTTTGCACTCTTGGTCAGTGGCCTCTGCAGCAGGCTGGGCCCTTCGCGTGCGGGGAAGTGGCAATCGGGTGGCTTGGTCGGGTAGCCTCCCAAGTCGACGAGGAGCGGAAAGCAGCCGCCGGCCCAGTCGGTGCCCGGAGGCCCAGGGATCTGACAAAGCAGCCGGCGCATGCTGCCATCTGCCATGGGCCCGGAGTTAAATCCGGCATCCCGCATGTCAGCATCCGGCTTGACGATTTTGACGCGGAAGTCCGGCCCCGGCGGGTGCCGTGCACAATCGCGGTAGGCGGAGAGGCAGTGCTCCTCGAGGCGTCGCTTCTCGTGTTCCTTGTGTATGTTGGCGATCGACTCCTGCAGCGTGGTGATCTCGGCCTGCCAGTGCTCATCCCGCTCCTTGAGCATTCGGCTGCACACCACGTGGGCGCACGCCTGCTCGTGCGCCTCGCGCTCCGCTGCGGTTCCGCGCCACGTGCAAGCCGCCGCGCTGCAGGTGTCGGGACGCTGCGGGCAGCGCTCGACGTGCCCCGCAATTTCGCCACGAGTCATTGGTGCATTGCAGTGCGGGCATGCACTCGACTGGGCAGCGATGGACTGCTCGGCGAGGAGGCAGCGGATAGGCTCGTCTGGCAGCACGACACGGCACTGCGGGCACTTGTTGGAGTTTTGACGATGTGTGACCAGACAGCCCGCGCAGAACAGGTGGCCGTTGCGACACTGGTGCACCTGCTCATCGGGAACGGAGAGGCAGATACCGCAGTTGAACGGCGTCGTCTGCGCGCGACGCGACGACATCTCGCCCCACACCACGAATCTCTCTCACTAGGCACGGGACTGGCGCGCGCACTGCCCCGCAAGGCGCGCGATACAAACGGTATCTAGACATACCACGAAAAAGAATTTAAACAAAAGAACTCTCTCTCACAGCAGACAGGCTCGACACAGGTGCGAACTGGCGCGTGCTAGTACTATCACCGGCACACCACCGGAGCCACGAAAATTTAACCACTTTTTACAACCTCGTCCGTCCATCCCTAAAACGAGCACCTTTGAACGTGTGGGCGGCAGCTGTCTGTTTACAGGCGCTGGCCGCCCGCGCGCGCGCCGGACCGGCTCCGGCACGTCCGGCGCTGGGTGGCGCGCGTCCACACTGCGCGTCGCGCAAAAGGCGAGCGCTCGCCGCCGCTACGGCGGCGGCGGCGGCCGACGGCCGACGGCCGACGGCCGACGGCCGACGGCCGACGGCAGACGGCATACGGCCTAGGGCTCGGCTGGGCGCGCACGCGCACGCGCGCGCGTCGCGCGCCACGCGTCGCTCCGCGAGGGCGCGCGCCAACCGCGATTCGAACCGGGGCCAAAAGGCGCCTGGAGCGACCACGGTCCGGTCGCGCCACCGCGGCTGCGGGGCTGAAAGAGCAGGCCGGCTGCGGCTCCTGATGTACCTCCGCTTTTGGGTGGCGGTCGCGCGCTGCCGACGGCGCTCGCCGGCGCTACGGCGCTCGCGGCGCGCTCGTGGCGTTCAGGGCGGCTCGCACACGCACACGCACACGCACACGCACACGCACATTGCGCGCCCGAGCTTCGTGAGTCTGCCTGCCGATTTGGCGGCGGCAGCGGCGCGTTTCATCGACGACAAGACTTTAGATGAGGAGTCCACCGAGCTAGTCGCGAGGCGCATCCAGCAGGAGGCGCGCCAACGTGGCGGATTATATTCGCAGTTCCCTGCATACCGAATCCAGGTAGCAAACGGCACTATGTTCGCCCTCATGGTCGTGCCCTGCGGGAGGCGGGTCGGTGACTTACGCAGCTTGCACCTGCTGCGCCAGCTGCTCGAGCTTCACGAGATCGCTCCGCTGCCGGAGGTGGACTTTGTCTTTGCCACGGGAGATCACGCACGCATCCCGCTCGAGTTGGCGCGGCCCGACGGGGGCTGCCTCCCCGTCTTTAGCCACGCCTACGAGGGCACGCCGCCGCGGTGCCAGAACATCCCGCTCCCAGACTACTCCTTCGACCCGGTGGGGTTCGCCTCGCGGTGGACCGAACACTGGGAAGTTATGAGGGTGCGCATGCTCGCCGCGGCGACAGCCAATCCGTGGACGGGGCGCATGGACACAGCGCTGTTCGCCGGGACCCTCTGGGAGGGAAGCAGGCAACAGGGCAAATCGCTCGCCTCCGACCCTCACCTCGGCCTCAACTTCAGTATGCGCAAGTGGGGCCAGCGCGGCGGCACCGTCCCGCTCGAGGAGCACTGCAGGCACAAGTATCTGGTGCACTTTCTCGGCCTCGCCAACGGCGCCGCCGATACTCACCCACCCACCACGCCCGCCAGCTTGCACTCTCCAAGTGTTTGGGCCTTGCGGTCCTCAGGCTACTCCAACCGGCTCAAGTACCTCCTGCTCTGCGGCTCCACAGTCATCTACGTGGGCATCGGCGCTGCAAAGGCGATCCCGCACGAGTTCTACGAGGCGATCCTCACCCCGGGCACCCACTTTGCCTACGCGGAAACCGCGTCCGACCTGCCTGCGGTGATGGCGCGCCTCCGCTCGGACGAAGCGCTCGCGCGAAGGATTGCGCAGACTGGGCAAGCGGCGATGCGGCGGCTGGACTGGGCCACGGTGAAGGGCTACACTCGCTACGTCCTGAACGTTATGTCGAGCCGGCAGCGAGCGCGAACCGGGCCCGCCAGCGGTATGAACCGCATCGGCAGCTTGAGTGACCTTGAGTCGTTCACTCGCCTCGATTCCTAGCGCAAGTCGCCGCGCAGAGCATTTAATTGCGCCCGACTCTCTTACTTCACAGATAGGTTGATAAGAAACAAGCGAAGCTCACAGTACACAGAGATACCTATAGCGTTTTAAGGAACAAGGATTGTGGTGCTAGCAGTCTCCCAGTTTGACCTCTCGCGTCTCGGGGCCGTCTGCCTCTCTCCCTAGTCTCTCGTCGTAGTCCCTCGTCAACTCAGACGCAGAGAAACGGACCAAGCACCGGATGCGAGGGTCGGTCGGCTCCTAACTAATTGTATATAGTAGCGATCTGCCTGCGTGCGTATGAGCTCACTAGCTAGAGCTCACACTAGAGGCCGTCGTCGCATTTCCATTTGCCTTCCTGGGAAAAGACTTTTTCTCTCTTCGCCCTGTTTTTGCGTGAGAAACGGAAGAAAGGAATTTTGCCTCCAAAATAATGCATCGTAAGTAAAATCGCACGGCGGCGGGGGGCTCGACGCGAGAGAGTCGTGCTCAGGTCATGTTGAGCCCGGTCGTCAACAACGCGGTCGAGCACATTACAAATGCTGCAGCAAAAGCGATGCCAGAAAACCCGTCGGTGTTGATACCACTCATCGTCCCAGCACTGATTGTCGTCTGGCTGATACTCGACCCCGATTGCTCGGACGGCACCCTAAACCTTGTGCTGCTCAAGCTTCTCTTCGCCACGTCGGCCTCGCTGATGATTGGTTGCCACGCCGGCCTCTACTTCCGGATCGCACGGCTGAGCGACGCTGAAATGGTGACGCTCCCGTCCGGCGACACGGTGACGGCCGCCGAGCACGACCGCCGCGAGTGGTTTAAGCTGCTCCAGCAGGCGGCGGTGGGCATACCAATGACCTTGATGATTGGCTTCAGTTGGAAGGCCTCGATCGCGCCATTTGTGCAATCCTTCCACCTGCCCATCAACATGCTGACGCACAACCTCTGCAAAGTCCACCTGATGGGCGAGGAGCCAGTTGGGAAGCTGGCCCGGCCGTGGAAGGTGCCGCTATCGCCATTCGCTGAGTACATGACCTCAAAGTTTGGCACGCAGAGCGGCGAGTCAACAAACGAGGCAACGCCCACCGCAGGAGGGAAGAAGGAGAGGAGCGGGTCGAGCAAGAAGGGGAGGTGAGTGAGTCGCGGGTGACAAAGCCGACCCTTTTCCAGATTTTTCCTGGCTCACACAAGCTAAAGATGTTCACGGGCCCTCACACGGAGCCCCGGGCACTCTTTAAGCTGTACTCGTTAGGGTGCCCACAGGACCTAAAAGAAAATACCTTTCCGACTCAAAAATGTACGTAAGAGCTACATACACCATATGTGGGGTGCAGCGCCGTGTAGTAACAGTAATATAAATAGAGTATGGAGAGACCGACCCAGGTCGCAGTTCTCTTGCTCCAAGCCGGCTTGCGCTTCGGCGGTTGGTGGTGCACTAACCTCCGAGAAACCCCCATAAGGTCGCTCCTCATCGCAAACCCCGTCAGCAGTCCTCCTCCGGGAATGTACGTAAGAGCTACATACACACCACCGGCGCAGGGCTACGTCAAGTCACAGCGTGGCCACTACCATGATGGGATCTTCACCAAACGAAACGCAAGTTCAACCTGCTTCTCCACGAGACATTCGGCGGCGGCTTCTCGCCGCCTGCAGTTGCAAAGATCAACCGCCTTGCGCGCAAGGCTCAACGCTCGGGCGTTGACCGCACCGCGTAGCCTCCCCACTCCCGCCTCTCATTTGTGTGTCACACCACGCTGAACGCATGCATCTCCATCGCTTCGGTGAGGGGGGTGAACCGCGCCATCCTCGATCGCCGTGCAAAGCTCGCTTCCGAGCTCTCACGCCGCGCGTAGGGCCCTTCTAGGGGCCTAGTCCCTAAGAACACAACCCCCTCTCCCTTTTCTCCCAGTTGTAAGCTAAAATACACTGAGAGAGGGACGCACCAGGCAAATCTGATTCGGTCAAGGATGGCACTAGAGCTCTAACCAACCTTTCAGCCACTTTCTCAGCCGCCGCGCCGTTGGATTCTTTACTTTTCTTTTGAGCTAGACTTCGAGCAATAACTTTTCTTTTACCTGGTACGCGTCGAAACGCGCAAGGAACTCTCCGGCGGAAGGAGCGACGTAGTCACGACGGCTCGCTCGTTCCGACGGCCGCCTAATGGCCCGAACAGTACGTCGATGAAACAGTGCGCATCGAAAGTTGGAACTCGCACGTCCGAAAGTCCCGGGGCGGGGGCCCCCCATGCTCGCCACCTGTGCAGCACAGCTCCACATGCCCCCCATGCTCGCCACCTGTGCAGCACAGCTCCACATGGACCGCACCATTGTGCATCACCTCCTTGCGACAGAGCTTCAGAATCTCGAGGCCGAGCTTGCACGCTGTACTGGAATGGGCCAAACTGCGGTCGAATGCCACGCGATCGAGGCGGCTATCCAGATTTTGCAGTGCGAGGCAGCGGCGTCTGAGTCAAAGGTGACTGATCTGCTGCAGACGGCGCAGCTACAGGTGGCAACAATCCTGCAGAGCAGCGAATCCGTCCAGAGGGCGCGGGACGAGCAGATAGCCGCGCTGGAACGGGAGCTGAGAGATTTCAACGTGCGAGGCCCGAAGAGCCCGTGCCACCCTACCCGTGCGTCGCAGCCGGCCTCCAACATGCATACCACACGTCCCGGATGCGCCCGTGCTTCCTCAGTGGCGTTTGGCACTTCACCAGCAATGGATCGCGCACGTCGAATCCCGCCGCGCCTCTGCTACCGAGTTCCGCCGAAGAAAGAGCAGAGGGCGACTCCGCCTCGGCCCGCCCGCCTCGGCCCGCCCTCGCAGGGGGGTGGCGAGTCCTTGTGTTACTGCGCCGAGGTCGTACCCAGAATGGTACCAGCCTCGTTGGATGGCGACGGCCGCAATCTCACGACGAGCAGCCGTCGAAGTCGAGGGATGAGCCCTGCGCGAGGAGGCGGGCCGCACCGCCGCATCGGCGCGAGACTGGAGCAACGCGAAGGACGGAGCGTTCGCGCTTCACACTAGTTCCCTGCTCGGCGTCGCGATCGGCCGGTTCTGACTCCTGTTCCCCCCTCCAGCACAGCACTGAGCACTCCGTCTCGCCCTCTCGCGTCTCGGCCTGGACGCGCACACAGGTCGTCGCACAGTGCCTCACAGGACACAGCCCAGCCCCTTGGAGTGTGAAGACTTCGTAGCCCTCCGGTCTACTAAGTACTATGAAGATCCGCAGGACTGGAGCGAAAAAAAGCAAGCGAGTGCTCACAGCCTGTGTGAGAGATTCCATCGTGAGAGACGCGGCCGTCCCGATCGACTCATCTGTCATCTCGAGATGTCATAAAAAGCCGTATGTGCTAATGTGAGATGAGCAGATGACCTGTCCTGTGTGTGTTATGGTGACAAGTTGTCCCGTGCCCGATAAAAAGGGAAGGGCTCAACAAGCGACGATCAATACACTCAAATCATCTTAATAAATAAATACACTCTCAACGAAAAAATCAGACCCTCCTGCTGAAAACAATCGAGAGTCATCGCGCCCCTCCCGCAGTCCCGCTCCACCTCTCAAGAGGCCCCGCCCGCCTGTCCACCGGGCGGGCTCACGCGAGTCGGAGCCGCCGTATGCGCTGCCCCCGAGCCCCGACCTCCACGTAGTGGACCCCGTGCGCCGTTGCTGGCCGCTCGAAGGACTCGGTCCGCATCGCCTTGTCCGGGTCACTCTCGAAGTTGCGGTCCAGAGTCTCGGCGAGGTGATCGACCAAGCGCGGCCAGGCGGTGGTGAGCCGGCGGCGGAAGTAGCCGAAGCCGGGCAGCCGCACTTGGGCCACGAGCGCCACCACGGTGACGAGCAGCGCAGAACGGAGCAGCCGCAGTACGCGGAGGGGCGCCGTCGACAGCCCGAGCCAGACCTGCGAGGCGAGCTCGCGCTCGAGCGCGCGGAGCGACGCCCAGATGGTGGGCGCGCGCGGTGCGCCGTCGGGCAGCTCCGGCGCCCGCGCGCTGTGCCACCGCGAGCTGTGCCACGGGTGCCAGCTCGGCAACTCGGACCTCGCCCAGAGGTCGATGGCCCAAGTGATGATGGGCGCGCGCTCCTGTGTCCGCTCGGGCAGGCTGAGCGGGTCCTTCTCGAAGGCGCGCGCCAGCCGCTTCCACTCGACGGCGAGGATGGAGCCGACAGCGCGCAGGTGCGGCTTCGGCGAGCCCTTGAGCTCGTCGGTGATAACCTCTGGCGAGACGGCATTCAGGCTGGTGGCAGCACCGGTGACCGCAACGCCCGCGAGCGACGCTTGAGTGGCAGCAACCGCGCTGCTCGGGGTCGTCAGCGACTGCACGAGAGCGGGAGCGGAAGCGCTGGCGACGTGCCCTGCCCCGTGCAGCAAGGCGGCCAGCTTGGCCCCGGCGGCGGCGGCCGCCGCCGCGGGGAGGAGGGCGGCAGCGGGGGCACAGAGCGCGAGCGCGAGGAGCAGGCGCAGCCGCGGGGAGAGCCTGCTGCTCGGAGGCATGCTGGCTCGTTCACCGACGGGGCGGGCGACGGCTCCGCTCCCAAAGCTCCAGGATGCGCTGCACTGCCGCGAAGAGTCCGAAGATGCTCGCAATGAATGTGAATGCGATCGAGAATCGGGGCACCAGCAGCGAGGCTACGCAAGATATCGCGCACCGCGCCCTTGCTTTTGTGTTTTGAGAGCGCCTTGGCACGCAATGGAGGCGCCCAGAGTGCTGAACTCCGAAACCGAACGAACCGCGAGTTCACCCGCGAACGCGAACCAGTTCATGAACCAGTTCGCCAGTTCGCCCGCGAACGTCAAAGGCTGAGGTACGGCGATATAAAAAAATAGCGCCTTTCACGCACATAGTTCCAGCGCGGTGCCTCTCCGAGCTGCGACCCAGGAAGCGGCCCTCTCCGCCTCCGGGGACCCACGCCCGCGCGCCTCCTCATAGCTGCGCCGCGTCGCCGCCGAGCAGCTCGAGCAGCAGCTTGTCGTCGATCGGCTCCACCTGCTCGCAACCACAGGCGTCACCCCGCGGGCTGAGAGTCGTGCCTGTGTGCCTGTGTGCCTGTGTGTCTGCGCGTCGCTCCAATTGTGTGGCCGCCTCACCGCCTCGCTAGCCGCCTCTCCAGCGCCCGTGTCCAGTCGTTGGCTGCGTGATCCCCCCCCCC